GCTTTCTGAAAGTTTTGAAAAACAAGATCATCTGGATGAATGCCTGCACCAAGACATAGATTATGTATTTCTTTCAGTCAGTGGTAAATTCACAACCAGCACTGTGTGTTTTTAAGTCGTTACATGTGAATACCACATTTACTTTGCATATTTCACTTACTTTCACTATTAAAGAATATGACGTGGCACACATCAACTTACTGTAAGTAACAGAATGTCTTCTGGAGTAGTTATCAGTGGGCTGTGGGAATCACAATAATTCATTTCTGTGTGGCTCATGAACCATAATTAGCTTTACTGAACCAATAGTAGTGGAGAGAAGCTGTAGGACTGCACATAATTAGGAGGTGAGCTGATTGGGATCAATCCCAAGAGGCAAACACTCTCTCCATGTTGTGAAAGAAAGGGAGAAAAGAACAATCTCTAAATATATTAGAGTGGTCTCAAAGGCTGCTCTTTCTAAGGCTGGTTGTGACGGTTCTGCTGGGACCATTAATCAGCTGTGAACCAGACCAGACAGCTCTGACATGGAGCTAAATACCACTCCTCAAATTATTTTGAGAATACTTAATCAATTTTCATTTAGTGGAAAGACATAATAATTTTTTACTCATTTTGGTACAAACATCACAATTCTATATGGTTACCCATACTCTATACTACAAATAAATATCTAATTTGTGAACTAGTTAGATCTAGTTAATGTGTTCAAACACTTAGTACATTTTTGCTCCAACATTTTTATTTTAAACTGTAAGGAGAAAGGAAGTGTATTTTTATAGTAACATTTATTTTTTTCCCAAATTCCCATTAATTTGGCTTACTGGAAAGTGTTCATTATTATACCCAAACTTTTAATTACATGTCTCAGATGTGTACTTTTAATTAACTGATGACATTTTCTTTGTTCAATTATTGTAGTTCAATACAACTGTCATAAACTTATAAATTTTAATTAAAGCTGCCCCAATCTCTAGCTATATAATGTTCACATAGGAATTTGCCAAAAGGCTTAGCAGCAAGTAAACCAACAGTGAATAATCCCTGAATTGCCAGTGGGATTTGTTCAACAAATTAACATTTGTGTGCAGATAATGAGGTTCTACAACTTACCACATCCAGCAAAGATTTAGCACAATCACGTTTCAAAAAAATGAGTAATAGTCTGCAATTTACTTAATTAGTTATCACATTACTATTATATACCAGGCGGTGAAAGAGAAGGGGATTTACACATTCACTAGAACACACACATTCACTAGAGGAGCATTTCATATGCTGAGTCATTTTATTTAAATCATAACACGATGAAAGGTTTGTTTTCAGGATGTCTCTTCCTTGGTTTTTGAGCCAGAAGCCAACAATAAGGAAATGCCCCGACTCCTAGGGAAGCCTCCCAGCAGTGGGGACCCCCCAGAAGATCATCTCCCTCTGAGGCTAAAGTTACCGGGAGTCCCGAAGCTCTCCAAAGGGCACGTGTGAAGAATGACATTTGTTAGATGGACTGGATCAAAGCTGTTTGAGTTGGATAACATACAAGAATCAATAAGGGCAATCAGAGCTTCTGAGAAAGAGCCAAGCAAGCCGAAATTATCACAGGTCATTTATAGGATTTGGATTGGCACTCGCACACATCTGAATTCTGCAACTGCCAGAGGAAAAAGCTTCATCATTTTGAACAAAAATACATTTTAATAAAAGAGAAAAATTGGGAAAATATGTGGAACTTGATTGCATCAGTTTCACAGGACTGTTTGATGAGCCAATTGTATAACAGATCAAAACTATAAAAGCTGCTTTTTGAGGAACTGGTTGTGAGCATCATAGTATGGCAAGTGGTACACACAGACAGCAATAGCACAGCAGAAGAAATTAAGATTATATTGAGGTGAATTTATTTTAAAATACTAATTTTATATTTTCCAGAAATGTAAGGGAATTCTCTACCAAAAAAAACCACAAACCAAAACAAACCCAAACAAAATAAAACCCTAAGGTTTTGGTGCAATGTACCTATTGCTACTGGACAGGTCCATTTGGTGGGATGTAATAATATAAATCTAGACATAATGTAATGCCTAAGTTCTATAACCATTAATAAAAAAATGAGCAATTCCTGGTAACAAAGAACTTTTTTATTCCTCCATGCAGCAACGGGCAAGAATACAGTAGCATGAACACTAATGACACTGATATGAACCTGACAAAGCAGCTCATCATTGAAGGCTGAGACAAGGAGAAGGAAGAGAATGAATGCTGCTCGGGATTTCCCACCCCAGTCCAAACTGGGATCAGTGTGTGCAGCCCCTGCAGCTAAACCTGCCCTCACTGATGATGCACTGCCTGCCCAACAAGCTTTGAACCCTGGTGTATTTGACTGGAAGGAGGAAATGGTTGTTGCAAAAACACTGGAGGAATTAAACTTTGTTGACTTCATTACAGTTTTCAATACTTTTTGGGACATCCAGTTCCCCCTGTAAGACACATAATTGCTTTAGTATATTATGGACTAGATTAAACTAGGATAGGGGGACATCTCACTGACATGGTAGTTTGTTTCAGAAACACACGATTTATGGCCTGATATAGATAAGAAATATGGTCTGATAAGAAATAGAGATTTCTTCTTAATAGAATATTTACAGGGTCCAGGGGCTAGGCATTCAAGGAAGATGAGATGTGGATCAATTTGAAAATTTTATCTGGAATGCTGGATGGGGCCACACTGATTTAGAAAGATATATGGTCCTTAATTTCCATGTCTCCTGCATGTGGCATGGGCTTCAAGGCATGGCTACCCTCATGAATTGGAAATGGCAGGTAGGAAATCTGGTTAACTTGAAATATGATTATAAAAATTTGATTAAACTGGGAAAGTGGACACAGCACAGCAGAAGAGTATTCCTACTGGCAGGGATGCCCAGAGAGAGTCATCAGAACCAGCTCTACGGTGGTCTCAGCTTGGCACGCTTTGGCCACGTGTGATACAGTCAACTTTAGTTGCAGTTAAAGGTTCAGATTCCCCAAAACCAGGCATTTGAACAGTGAGATGTGGACTGTGGTCATCCATTCTGGCTCTCCTGATGCTTTTTTGGTGCAGGCACATTATCCTGTTTGAAACCAAGCAGAAATAAGGCTACACATGCATCTCCAGGCCCTCTGAAGGAGCTCGGGCCATGATTAACAATTTAGCACAAGTATATTGTAGAATCTCTTCATATCTCTACTTTGCTCACTGGTGACCAAACCTACTACACTAATTATTTCAGCAAGGCTGAGAGATTTCAGAGGCTGGATTTAGCAAGAAAAAAAAAATAAATTAAAAATCCAGGCAATAGCATAGCTGTGTGAACACAGCAAGTGTGAGCTGCCTGGTAAAGAAAACATGAGCTGCTGGAGGTGCATGAGCCCTGTGGCTACTGCCAAAAGAAGAGGATTAAATAAAACCCTGGGGTCTCTGCAGGATTCAGAATTGAGCTGGAGTTCTAGGAGTTGAGTTGTTAATTTTATGAAGCCTTTTAACCCCATAAAAGTATCAATTAAATGCCAGACATGTAAAGATGTGGGAATAAACACCCTCTCCTCAGATGACAAGGAAGTTCTGCACATCATTTAAATCACCCATGACTTTCTTCCATTCACTTGCATGTTCTCACTAAACATGTATTGATCTCACTACGTTGATAAAAATCTCTGCTTATCGTTTGTGTCAGTAGTTCCATCAGCTGTTAGAAGAAGTTTCAAGTATAATTAATCAACTTCAAATACAAGTAATTCTCATATTTAGTCGCTATTAGTGATGTTAACCACGAACAACATTATTAACCCTCAAGTACTCAGAACTGAAAAATCCTGTTTGTCATACAACAGATTACTAGGTTTGTATTCACTTGGATTTTTGCCACCACATCTCAGTAAAAAAGAGGAAGGTCCAGAGAAGCCAGTAAGTGAAGCTACATTACTAAACTATCTAAGCTAACTAGTAAGGAGTGCAGAGGAAAGCACTGACATCTAAGTCCCCTCTGTCACAGAGATTAGGAGACATAATTCTGAATTACAGGGAGCTCTCTCTCTACTTGTGCTGAAGTCAAACTCCTGTTCTAAAATCAGGTGCCTGTACTTTTCTTACAGACATCACAGCGTTGGTCATTTCATCACGTAGGAGAAAATGATTCACACCACTTTCAGCAGCTGATAAGCTTCTGAGATGAGACAGCAAACTCTTCTCCAGCTGTTCGACTTTGCATCAAATATTTAAATATTCCTTGGAGCAGAAAATAGAATTCAACTCCTCCTTTCTCACATAATTACTAAATTTCAGACTACTTCTTATCACACTTTCCCTCTCTAGCCCAAACACTAACTGCATTATACAAGCTACAACAGCTACATGTTCGGGACAAAGATCAACTGCCAAATACCCATGTTTTGACAGCTAGGATAATCTCCCTGAAGATAAGGGATGCGATTTCAAATTCCTTCAGGAAAAAAAGGGATCTTATTTCTGATCAAATAAATCTTCCTGAGAATTAGATGAGTAATATGCCTATTTTGTGAACTTCAGTAAAAGACTGTTACAGAGTTACACAACTCTGTAATTTAAGGAAATAATTCTGTGTATGCATGTAAAAATCTAGAGGCAGAATTCAGATAAAGAGAGCACAAGGTGTGTGACGTTGTTCCTGAGGTAGTTTGACTGGACCTTACACATTATAATTCCATATCTATACCTCGACATGTGTGTCTGTGCTCAATATTTACTTACCCACTCCCTTTTCTGGGATGCAGCCAAATTATGTTAAAACATCAAGATACATGAATGAAAAGCACTATTGGCACCATATATATATATAGGTATATACTGCTACATTGCACATCCTTTAAGCAGGCAAAGCAAAGGTGTTACAAAGAGGAAAAAAACATAACAAACAAGTAACGAATACAAACATTGAAATTAAAGCAGACATAATAGTTAGATACAGCTGCTCAGAAATATTTACCGAGGAGGGAGGCTCCACAGGTTCCTCCATTCTGGCAGTAGTTGTAGCAATGGTTTGTTTCACACCTTTCACCGGAGTAACTGGGCCAGCAGTGACATCGAGGATCCCCCTTCTCATTTATAATGCACTTGCCTCCATTTTCACAAGTTAATTTACAGGTATCATCTGCAGCAAGAGCACACACAGACTTGTTTTCAACCATTCCATTTCAAGTAGCAGGCAACACAGAACCTGTTTGCATCTTAAATAGAGCTACATATCTCTATCAATGGGGGGAAAAAAATAATCACTTTTCAAAATGAAGAAATGATGAAAGTATGACTTCTGTTTCCACAGTGCTAGAAGAAAAGACACCCTTAGGAGACCGTAAGCCCTCCCTGAAAGTTGCAGAGCCAGTGGGGGCTACGCTCCCCTGTAGAGCAGTGCTGTGAGCTCGTACCATACTGAGCTAGGGGCCTCTGTGAAGCACTTACACTTCATCCACACGATGCCCCAGGAAAGCTGACCTCCTTAGGATAGTTACCAATGATAGTATGGTTCTTGCTTGAAAATATCATTCCTAGTTAGTTTAAGAAATGGAAAAAAATGAACGCTGATTACACCTGAGGGATCTCAGAAAACTTCCCAGCTATTTTCTGGTGACTTCAGCTTTTTCCTGTTTGAATTTTTTGGATCTCTCTTCCACTCACTCTGTTAACTAACACCCTTCTTAACTAAACCCTACCCAAAATATTTAAAATGAAATTATTCAGCCTTCAAATCCTCCTCAGAAATGGATATTTGCAGACTAACTTGTTGCTTCTAAAACATATTTTCTGATTTATTCTTATTCTTTTCTGCTCAGTCTAAAATCACTGAGAAGAGATACTGCCTGCTGCTCTGCATTCATCGAGTGCTTGTGGCAGTAGTGCCACCAGCTTACCAGTGAGGTACGAGGTGACAGAAATTCTGATTAGGCCAGATTCAGTCTTTCTATAAAGCTTTCTTGCAATTAGAGTTGTGCCTGACTTGGAAACACTTTGAAAAATAAATCTCTATTCATTTCAGTGAACAAGATATAAAATCATTCAATGCTACCAACAAGAAATTAATTATAGACTAGCACACATACAATGCTCAAACATCCAAATAATTGTAATCCTAAAGAACCAGACAGGCACCTTTCCAGCCCAAAACATGCTTTCAGCAATGAGATTTTTCATTTCTCACATAGCAAAACAAATCCTGCGAAGCCAAACTGCTGCCTCACTAATCCAGCATTTGAACCCACATGGTTTTTAACAGGAGGGATACTACTAGCACTGAGAACTCTTCAGATGTTATGCTGAATTAATCTATTGTAGTTACAGATTACTAATGAAAAAGAGTCAAGGTTCCCATTTCATAGAATCACAGAATGGTTTGGGTTGGAAGGGGCCTTAAAGACCATCAAGTTCCAATCCCCTCGCTATGGCTAAGGACAACTTCCACTAGACCAGGTTGCTCAAAGCCCCATCCAGCCTGGCCTTGAACACCTCCAGGGATGGGACATCCACAGCTTCTCTGGGAAACATGTTCCAGTGTCTCACCGCTCTCACAGTAAAGAATTTTTTCTAATATCAAATCAAAAACTCCCCTCTTTCATTTTAAAACCATTACCGCTCAGTCCTATAGCTCCATTCCCTGATCAAGATGTCTAACATTGATAGACACAGTCACTCCTTTTTTTTTTTGATGTTTAAATAAACACATTGCGTTATAAGAGCAGAATTTAGGAATGATGGATATCCTCTGGCTGAATAGCGCTCTCTGGGATGGACTCTGCAGAGTGCAGAGATATAACTGTTCTAATGCAGCAGCCTTTTCCTTGGGTACATCCTTTCCTGCCCATGTATGTCCCTCCTCAGCAGGACCTGGCTGCCTCTGTTCACGGCCAGAACAGTGATGGTGCAGACACGTAACCTGGGGTCAAATATATTTAAACAAAACTTCTGGGAACTGATCATCTTTCAGGCAACTGCATCTCACAAATTAAGCTGAAACAAGACAACAAACCTAAAAGTTCTTGTGGAGGACTGACTGGCACATTATTATTTCGTTTTTACATTAAAAATATGAAATACCATGTGTGCCTAATTTTTTGGTATCCACCGTGCACATATACATCTGCTGTAACAAATCTACTTTGTATTTGGGAGTTTGAGGATGCCTCGGTGTTTTATTTATTTGAGTGGCTCATTAAATCCTTTGATGTTCCATGAACCATTCTTCAGTTACCCGTTATAGAAGTTGTTTAAATGGATAATGTAGCATATCTTATTGGAGAGATGGTCTATTTTTGTTTTGCCTATCTTATCTGTTTTACTTATCATTAGTCATGAATTTATAGAGCAGCACTTTGTAAAAACAGAATAAATAACACTCAGGTACATACAAGTGCTCATTTTTAGGAACCTTTCTTATAGCATATTAAGAACATTTTCTATTTCTCTTCTAGAGCAATTCCACAGAATTAAGATATAAAATTTGAAAAAACATGGAAATTAAGACAGACTGAATTCAAGAGAAAAATAGAGTATCAAAAAGCATATTTAGAACTATAAAACATGAACTACTAACTTGAAAAATCACCCTAACCACACCAAGAAATACATGCCCTCATATTTTCAGGAAATTATAGCGAGCCAAAAATTACCCACAGTCTTTCAAAGGTTGGGACACTCATGTCTTACACTTTATAAAATGCAGTATATGTTATAATTTTATGCAATGGTCAACTGAGAAGATTCCTGAAAAAAAACATAAAAGTTTGTAATATTCTGTAACATCATAGGATTATTAAAATTTGCTACTGATTTTGTTCTCTATAAAGATTTTAAATTCAATATTTTCAACACAAATCTTTCATGAAAGAGAGAAAAGTTACTACAACAATTTTGGACTTTAAGTAAGCTAAGAAATAGAACTGAAAGATGCAATGGATAAGCCAGTTTTAAAATGCTATGTTAGATTTTAACTACATTGCAGTTTTAATGCTGCTGCTTTGTTGTCTGAAGGTAAATACAAGAATCAAATTACTCTTGGTGGTCCACATCAACTGAGTACAAAAGGGGATCAGACGCCTTTGTGCAGGAGAAGGGAGCAGAATGGTCCCACAGGAAAGACAGGAAGACAAAGGATACAGGAGAGAAACACAGAAGAAATGTTATAAAAAGCTGAATACTCTTTATTTGAATTACTGAATGAAGACCTCTGAGGAAGAGCAGGGAAGAGCTCTGGTAAGAACCCACTATTGGAACTAATTTAATCAGAAAATGTTTTTATGTGGAGTCAATTCAATACTGGTCTGAGCTTGCTGGAACTTGGACTAAAAGACCTCTCAGCTGCTTTTTTTGACTTCTGAAATGAAAGAAGTAAATAATTTCACTTTGTATTCTACTCCTAGTCTAGCTACTGAGCTCTCTAACATGAAAGAAAGGAAAGGTCATGCAATTTTAGATATTGTCTCCTAGCCTGGTTATTGAGTCTTCTGCTGCCTTGATTTGCCCATTTCAATCTTAATATATCTTTAATAAAGAATTAAATAAATTCGATTTACAGTTTTTCTTATGTTTTTCTTCCTGATATGACTGTTTGACACAAACATTAATGGACTTTTAGCTTATTTGCTCCATCTTTGACTCTTTCCTTTAACTGGAAGTAAAAGGAAGATCTTACACAGAAGAAGCACCGATAAAGCAGCAAAACAAAGCTTTGTGAACTCTACTGGTACTTTTTTCCATCACTCATTCAATTTTTTTATATTCCATCCCTCTCCCTTAGTCACATACACATATACACACATCTTGTATTGCCACTTCTATAACAACCCTTTCCTTCTTGAGAAAAATGTATCTTACTTTTTGCTATTTTTTCCCTTTGAAATATCCACTGATTTCTGGACCTGGCAATTAAATGGAGAGATGATGCTATAGAGCACAAGGTTCATGAACTACATTATTTGGGAAAAGAACAGTTTCTCTCCCCACAGTGGCAAATACTCATCTCATGGGACAGAAAGGTATTTGTTCTTGTCTATCCTTCAGTCAGGGTGTAACTCAGCCTTTACTGAGCTGAATGCACCTATTAAAGACAGAGTGCAGAGTTCTAATCTTATAGTAAGGTTTTATAAATCTTCCTGCCCCTCCAGATGAGGGTTTTACTGTCTGCCAGTTTTCCATTTGCTGAAATTTATCAGAACAAGTTGCAATCCACAACTTTTGTCTCAATGCTGTAAGACAGACCCTCCTCTTTGGTTTCCCTTCACTTTTTTTTTTTTTTTTTTCCATTTAAAAATATGTTCACTATAGAATTTTAAATGGAAGAGAAGGGCTAAGAAGAGGATGCACAGTGAGAAAAAAACCTAAGCAACACCTGTTGTAACATAACCCATTTTCTGTTATCCTGGGAAATGCCAGTCCAGAGAGTAACCCCTCTGTAAATACAGAAGATATTGCTGTAAACAAAAGATTTTTCTCAAATCAGAAGTAGCTTTCTGAATTTGACCTGGTTCTATTTGATAGCTAAAAGCGCTGAAAGCAGAACAGCAATCAAGAAGATAGTATGGGCTGAACTGCCATAGCTTTTGCTAGTACAGCTCCCTGAGGCAGACTTTGTGGGTGAAAAAGAAGGTATGTAAGGATTAACCTCTACATCCTCAGTCACAGCACTTGGTGTCTGCAATCTGTGTGTGCAGTGGGCAAGTCCCCACAGAAATGTGCTGAAGGAAACGCCGTGATAAATTACACATTTCAGCTCTGTTCAGCAGCAGTGACAGATCTGAGTCTTTGTAATTTTTCTCAGGCTTTTCATCCAGCCAAGAGAGCACAACTATTCCCTTCTTAAAATGAAACTGATAAACATGCAGCTCCAGAATAGTGAACCCTTAGAAGTGTTCATTACTCTTGCTCATTCAGCTGTGGTACAGTCTTCCTCTACCGTAAGTCTCTGTATTTTCATCTTCTTGGTAGGTTTTCAGCTTGTGTTACAGACAATTAGAGACAATAAACCTAATGGATGTAAATCCAGTGGTCTCTTTTAGGAAAATGAAGTGGTACTTTACCCATTTGAAAATGATAGAGTAGCTTCTACACTAGAAAAGTCAGGCCTTCTACAGTCAACAAAATAAACCACAAAAAGAAGTGTGCTCTGTCAATCAAAATCATCTAGGGATAAATGAGACAAACTTACTGAAGAACACACGGGAACTCCCTTTCATTTTGTTATAAAAATATTCTGAATGATACAACACACATATGTTGTAATAACTCCGGCTTGAAAAAGTCAAATCAAACCCAAAAGCTGTGTGAGGTGCTAGTGAAAGAGCTGTCTGAAGCAATCTGGATTCAGTCTTACAGAAAGCCAGTGAGGATTCAAAACCTAGAATTTCTCACGTAGGACTTAGGAAGAAAAATCAACTAAATGGATCAAGCAAGTAGTAATATTATGCAGAATTTCAAGACTTACCTCAATTTTCTTTTGTTAAAATAACGAAACCCAACAATCCAATTAACCAGAATCTAAGTCAGTTTTTGGGACATAGTCACAAGAAAGAAGAGCAAGACTGAGATTAACTTCCAGTCATCAACCTTAAGACAGACGGACTATAAGATATTGTACAAAGTGGAAGAAGCATCTTTGCAATAGTCAAGCAAAGAACTACCAAAATGAAGAATGGCATTCTAAAGTTTTGTTAAAATCATTATTTGTTGGAAGACATTTGTCATAAGGATAGAGACATATGCATTGTCAAAAGAGAATCTTCAAACACAGACTCTCCTGGGAGCACTAGTCAAGGTGGATGAGAACTGGAGATGGCTGTCCCATTTTGACTCTGTCAAGTTATGAAAATCTACTACTACCTTCCTTAATACATTTTAGAAGACCCAAAACACTTAAAGACACTTAAAAGTATTATGAATGTTCAATATACTCCTGTTTACTAATGTAACTTGAATTATATGTTATTCAAAAAGTACGGTTTAGTCACAGTAGTTCTTGACATCAACAATGACCACTAATTTGTGAAATTAAAAGACTTCTTAGATGACTTGAAAGAGCTACTGTGCAAGTACAAAAGAACCACTTCTTTTGCTACATGAATGATGTCCATTAAAAGAGACTTTAAAAATTGAGTTTTTAGATAGGGGAATCAGTGGTAGTGTATTTTTGAACACATAAAATATAATGTAGGTAAATCATTGTAACCTATATACTATGTAACTGTTACATTGTGATTAAACCAGTAACTAAACCAAATGGATACATCAGTTAAAAAGTGTTCCACGGATACCCATGTCTCAAATGAAAATCTTCTGAATTTCAGTCTTTTGGGACAAACCAGAAGACCACCAAAATCAAAAGGAACCACCACTACCAAAAATATTACTACATAACCTCCCTTTGGATTTATAGCAGGTCAGTCTTCCACAACATACCGATTTGGACAGTTACGTAAAGCAGGAATTGCTGTTTTGGGTTACTGACATCAATATGCCAAAAATGCTCTGAGACAACAAAGACACTATAATACTAAGTTTAAACAAGGTGAATGTATACAGTTTGGAATATTCCATATGCATTTTCCAGCTCTTCATCACAAGAGGAAAGCAAGGTTTCAGCTCCTGTTTTTTGGGGGTTTTGTTTTTATTTTTGTTTTGGTTTTGTTTGCTTTTTATTGCATACTGTATAGCTTCCTAGAGGAAAAGAACCTGGTTTAGAACTTGACTTCCAATAAGAAAAGACATTTAGTGATAATCTCCACAATGTTTTTTGTTAGCAGGCTATTCACCACCTATTAATCAGTCAGCCATTAATTATAAACCTGTATTAATTCAAGATGCCAATCTCAAGGACAAATCTGATCTTTCCAGGAATGTCTGCTGATTCTTGGAAGCTGAAGTGAAGTATCAGCATGAGAAAAACATTTAACATCCACTTCATACTTTTGTTAAAAAGTCAAAATATTGCAAAACCATCCACTTTTCAGTGTGCTATGATACTGAGGCTTGTTTCAATTCGGAATTTATAATCTGTGAGGCTAAAAAACCTACAATCTACGATCACAAAACTAACATACAAGAAAAAAAATATACAAAATAGTCTTTGCTAGACATTGCTTTGTTTCAATTCGGAATTTATAATCTGTGAGGCTAAAAAACCTACAATCTACGATCACAAAACTAACATACAAGAAAAAAAATATACAAAATAGTCTTTGCTAGAAATAGAATTGTAATAAGAAAACTAAGAAACACCTATTCAGCAGCCATTTAAAAAAGTCATGACAGATACTGCAGTTGCGGGAAGATGCTGAAAATTATCAATATATTAAAAATGCTTCTCTAGGCATTTTCTATCTATCCATAAAAATTTACAAGCAGCAGTGAAATAGTTTAAAAGCTACTTCAGATCTTTCTCTCATAAAAACATACCTTCCTGAAAACTCTACCTTGACATAATCCTTTTCCCCACTTGTAAAACTCTAACATTACTGAAATTACGGGTAAAATTACTGAAATTACTCCTGATCACCAGCAAAAAGCAATATTTTTTAATGAGGCCTTTCTTCAACACCTAAATAATAACTTTGGATCATTTTAGATAATTTTTAGGTGGTACTGCATCAGCACAAAATCTTGAAAAGTATCCATCTCAGACGAAAAAAGAGCTGACGTTTGGAGGGGGAGGGAGGGTAGATGCTCTGTCAAGACAAAGGGTATTTAGACTGATTTGTCTCAAGAGTTAGAAACTGTACAGTACACGAATGTTTTCTATTACATCTACTTCAGTGACATCACTTCTTCCCTAACAGTCAAAATTGTTTTAAAACAGATATAAACTACTTTATAAATATACTATATAAATACACATTGACAGGTGTTCAGCCAAGGGGGTACAGTAATGAAGCTTTCATTGTATTTTTGCCAGAACATTGTGTAGCACATATAAAAGTTGATACTGTAAATGCATCGTACTCCTACAGAAGCAAAAATAATGAATGGTTTTGTTATCTAGAACACGTTTTCTAATATTGTTTTACTATAAATTATTCTTAAATTTCCTAATACAGAAAGAGAAATGCTGCTAGACAGGACAGCATTATTAATAGCGTATTATAAACCACTAAAACACAGTTGTGTTAATCCAATATTTAAAGACTAGGCAGTATAAATAGGTGAGATTTTCTCTACAGTAATGGCATTTGAGGAAAATTACTTTAATTGCTAAATTGAGCATTTTAAGTACTGAGGATCTCACCAAAATACATATCACTTACACTTCGGATCCTGGAATCAAACATTAGAAAAACATCCTAATACGTTCTGACTTCTCATATGCATAAGAAACCCTATGATTTCTAGAACCTTTTAAAATTCAAACTGGCTAAGAATGCATTCCAGCAGTTTGATGACCTTATGTTTGTCCTCAATTACAGTAAGAATAGTTTTAAAGTACTTAACAGTCGTCTTCTATGGAAAAGAAGATTTTTACCCCCCTCATAAAACATAGCAAGAACTTAGTAGCTCTTTTGCCATGAGGTCAGGTTTCCTGTGTCTTGATATTAGTTATTATAGATCTTACCGAAAGATATAATTTTAGATAAAAATATTTCAGTTGGTTTTATTTTTTCTTTTTTGCCTGTTACTTCAAAGTGATTATTATTTGTTATTTGCTTACTGCCTTCTGACTATTGCTGCAGTCTAAGCAGAGGTGTTTCTTGATGGTCTTTAAGATATTTTTTTTTTTCTCCTGAATGGCTAATGCTTAATTTGGAATCAAAAACACTTCAGAGCTTTTCAAACTTATTTTGGTCAATATATGCACATCCATTTTAAATATCATCTTGTATCGGTTGAGCTGAAAGCTCATTTATCATTTTGATGAATATAAATGGGTTTTTTTATTCAGGAATTTTGCTTCTTTATATTTCATTTCACTTCAAGTAAGCATTATGGATATTGGATGTCATCACAAAACTCTTGACTCTCAGACAGCCTAGCCTTTTGCAATGACAAAAACTGACCAGCTGTTTCTTTTCTGGTTCTCATGCAATTTTCAATACCTACCTAAGAGGGTCTGATCAATGCATGTTCCATTCACCAATGATTTTCCTTCTGGACAAGCACATGTTGCACCAGAAGGGTTGAGCAAACAAATGAATTCACATGTCAGCTCCAAGCATGGATTAGGCACTGTTTAAAAAGACAAAATATTAAAAATATTGATTTTTTTATTAATACTTTTTTTTTTTTTTTAGAATTACACCGTGTTCTAGAACTAGGAAAAATCTTGAGATATAAAAATTCTCATACACTTCCAGTTTCCAGGATATCAACAGTCCAAAGTCAGTGAGCACACTCACTCAAATGGTAGTGCAAGACTCATACCAGGGCAAAATCTATTCCAGCAACAAAAAAATTATTAATATTATTCAATAAAACCCCTCATCTGTTGTGGCTAGAGACATTTGTATTCATCTCTCTTCTAATTTTTTTATACCTCATTTACAATGTGGGTACACAAGGCAAGCATTTGTCCAATGTCCTTCCAAAGGAGAGAAAATGCATCAAAAAATCTAAATTAAACTTATATAAAGAAATATGACTAAATCTATTTTCAGTTTGTAGAATCAGACTGTTTCATATTTGTACAACTTGGTTACATTTTTTCCCCCGAGGTGAACTTCCTCAGTATTGAGTTTAAAGTAATTATGCTTACTCACAGTCCATTTGTTTGTAGCGGTGAAAAATCAAGGCACTTTTTGCTTTGTCAACATCCACACTTAGATATTCTACAAGGCTCCTGCCAAATTTGTGTACTCTGAACGCACCATTTTTAGGACCTGCTCCATATATGTAATCCTCGAAAATGTCAATTCTATGTGGATGCAGTAAACCTTAAATAAAATTGAACAATTAACACACATATATATATTCATATTCAGATAATAAACAACTTGGACTTAACAATAATTTCAATTGTATTATTGCAATTACCACCTAAGGCTATTATTACTCAGACAGCTTATTTTGTACCAACAAAGACTGCCTTTTAAAAAGAATCTTCTTAAAAGGAACTCTTTCCATACTACAAGCAACTAAAATCTCTAGATTTGCATTAGCTTTCCAACCAATCCAGCCTCAGAAACTGGTTGAATATTGAAAAGTAGGGAAATCCCACAGTGACAACTAGCTAATTAGAACATACTTAGTTGAAACACTTTAACTAGAAGTTTGTTACAAGAAAGAAACAGATTATTTTGCCCTACTTAAAAGAAACTATTCTGACAAAATGTTTCTTCAGCTCCTTCTTAACATTTGAAGTGCTTTCACACAGCACTTATTTTAACTCATAATTATAGTAAATTAATACAAAAAGAAATGCTAAGCCTCTACCAATTCCTCATTTTTAAAAGCTGTGAGTGCCAATTAGATCACATCATTGGATTTCCTGTGCACACTGTCTGCAGAATTTCACATTTACCTTTGTAACAAGGCAATAACTTCTGAATAAAACTTCTTTGCCAGAGACATCTCTTCTTGATTTGAAGCCATAAAGAAACAGAACCTATAATTCCTTAGGATACCTTGTTCCTACCACTATCCCCATTTACTGTATAAATGGTTTTATAACACACTTGTATTTATTCAGTTTATTCTGCCAGTTTTCCAGTAGAAAATCAATCCATAATAGCTACTCTGTACTTTATTTCAGTAGAAATACTTATAAATTCGAATTCATTATCTTATGCTTGTTTAATTAAATGGGTCAAAGTTTTTATCTCATTGCAAAGCAATTTCTAAACTCTCCCAGTTTTCCTTTGGTCCTATTTCTCTAATGTTTCCGTAGTTACTAAAACTGTCAACAGCAGACAAAAGGCGACATTGCATTACTGATCTTGTATTTCAGTATTAAATCTTACACATGGAATTTAAAAAGTCTCTACTTTCTACTTGCCCCTTTACAAATCCCAAATTTGCTGGGTTTGGCACAGTGTAGTATAGCCCTTCTGTGCTATAAAATATTTTAAAAGTCATCTCCTTAGATGCGTTTTAGTCTGTTGCAATGTTGTGTCTTTTTTTCTCTTGAAGAATAGCCTCATGTTTATTCTTAAAATACAAATGACTATTGAGCCACATTAATACAAATCCAGGATACTCTGTCAGTCTTTGTAGCAGCCACAAGGACTAGCATAAGCACTGGGTATTTATTTTGTGACAGGTTACAGCCTAGTCAGATCCTTACACTCAAAGTGATCCTTCTTGAGATGACTACTTCCATGTATATTGATCCACATTGTGAAATAAAATGCTATTAAACAAGAATAAGATTATTTAAATTTGGTCCTACTCAATTTGGATCATGGGAGATTTTTTCCTAGTATTTTCCAGACCTCCCTGGTGAATTCTAGATCATTGGTTAAAACAGTAGCACTAGATGCAATAGCATCCTGATGAAACTCCACTACCAACTGCTAAGCAATCACCCCCAAAAGCCTGTATATGTTTCCTCTCTTTACCTCAATTTCATAAATTGTTACATATATTATAAAATAGTTATAAAAAGCCAACATGCAATTCTATGAAAACAAAGTTTCTTTGACCAGAATCTCTTTCCTTGTAAAAGGAACTTTCTTCATTCACATTCTGTGAGCAGAATTCTGTCATTACTTATTGACCTGAAAGCCAAATCCATTACTTTTTCCAGAACTGATTCAGGTCAACTGTTCTATAAACTATTCAATCCTTGTGCTAGACAGCTCTAATTTCTAACTAGTCAAAGTTTTCTTGTTGCTATGTCAGTCCAAGCAAGGCCAAGAATAAATATTAATTGCAAAGATGTTTCATAATACCTAAGCTAATAATTAGATAGCAGTCTTGGACATTTGCACATAACACTGAATCTTTGTTCCCCTAAAGTAACTTTATCAGATTATCGAAAAGCTAAAATTATCTTAAATATCTATTTGTTTAGCTATCTAAATAAAGCAATAAATATTACTTCATAATCACTACTTTTTGATTACATAGTTTCTCTCACTAGTGAAACTTCGGCTGAGTAAAATAAAGTAGAAATCATGTTATAGAAAAGCTCTCCATACCTTGTTTAGTGCTCACAGACACAACTGAATCGGAACCATCAAAAAGAACGCTGCCAATAACAGATAATTCAAAATCAGCCCAGAACAAACGCTGACTGAACTGATCAACTACGAGACCTACAAAGAAAATAAAGTTCAAATAGATATATAAAACCTGAAAAAAAATTAATATTTTGATGTAACTGGACATTTTTATACCATTCATATTCTTGTGAACACAAAATATGGTGACAATGTAAAAACATGACAGGAAACCAAGGAGAATAAAATATAACACCTTCCACTTAAACTTTCCCCTTGAGGCAGCCGTGGTTTTTCTTCTTTATTTAACTTACTCTTCCAAGGTCAGTACTTTTTCAAACCCATTGTCCTCAGCAGGCAGAGATGTATACCAGGTGGGAATTAAATATAGAATCTAATCCTGTAATTTGCTCTACCAACAACAAAAAAATCTACTATGTCAATAGATTTCTAAGCAGTAGCACCAGTGTGACCATGCGCTAAAAACAAGGCATTCAAATTTCATAGAGTCTTCCGAACCTATCCTGTTTCCCTAAGGATATAATTGTGTTCTTTTTTTCTTGTTATCACCAATCCTTAACATGGAATAATTATTACAGAATTAAAAATCAGATTATGTCAATTAGATTAGTGTTACAATACTTAAGCAGCAATATTGACAGATGTATATATTTGCATAAAAAAGAAAGCACAAGAGTGACTGAGAACATGAATGAGAATAAAAGATAGATAACATTGTGACTACCCAACCTCTAGGCAATAACTAGTTAAATCAAGCAGCCCGTGTTTCATAGAGGGTGATTAAATGATTAATGTCCCATTTTATGTCACATCAAAAGCTTCAGCCTGGAAAAATATTTGAACCATAAAATAACTTAATTCTAATTTTTGAAGTTGTGGTGTATTTTTAATAACAATGGGAAAAAGTATTTTTCTTCCTATTTATGTAAGTAGGTAAGTCAGAAAAAATACATCAAAAGAAATTATAGATAACAGCAAGAATTCTCCTCTTAAGGTCATAAATTAATCAGCTGCAGATAGATGAGATGAAGTGGAGGAAGTCTGATGCATCGACCACTGAAATATGTTTACATTTGCAACTCCGTTAAAAGAAAACAAAACACCTCTTTAAAAGAAACACTGACATACAGCTAAAGAGAATAATTTCTGGTAAAAGGTAATCCCAATGTATCAACTTTGTGTGATAACACAGTACCTGTAAATGGGGAATATTTTAGAAGTAGTCCCCAGTTTCCAGCTTGAAATTATTCTTTGCATTTGAGTAAGAACATTTAAATATCAAACAAGAAATAAATAAATAACATTCTCTATCTTTCACAGTATCAGAGGTAACACAATGTTAAAAAGTACTTATTTTTAGATTTTACACGTAGCACTTCTTTTTTATGTCATTTTTATGTAAGTCCCATGAAGGCAAGCCAAAATGCTTAAAACTATCTCTTACTTGAAATAAGAAAGGCCTATTTAGCAATAAATTTAAGAGCAGTGGAACACAGATGCTGACTAAAACCTTTAACCTCATCTAAACAATAGCAGTCAGGTTTCTTTTGGGACAAAATAGCAAAGGCTTGGACTCTCTCTTTGCATTTTCTCTACAAAGACATGGGTCTGTGTGAAATATCTGACAAAAAAAATTTTAAAGCTCCATAAGCATCTACTTTCTACTATGAAGCAAAGGAAGAAAATCACAGAAGCATGGCACAAAAGAGTTTTCAGCCAATAGGGACAGGAAAATGCAAGGTATTTGTGAAATTTCCTCTTTGCAAAGTCTGCTCATTTTTGGTAATTCTGCTAATTTTCTTAGTTTTCATTTTATTCTTCCTTACAAGGAGACAGAGGTCTGGTTAGATGTTTATATGAAACTTTTCTGTATATAATTTATCAAGGAAAATTTTATGAAGAGCAGCTCTTGCAGTTCTGCTTCTGGGGAGGGAAGAAGTAAACACTTGCATTTCAGATAAGTTTGACACCATTACTACCTACAAATCTCAATAATTTCACTAATCCAATACTGATGGCCAAAAAACCCAAAAGAGTTTACATGCCGTTTAATGACCAAGTGGTGACTGGCTCCACAGGACATAATCTTGGCAATCAACCAGCCTGATAATAAGAGACAAAAAAGTGCAATTCCAGCAACTAGAACTAAATCTAATGATTTGTATATCTAATCTCTTGACAATGTTGTATATAAGAAGTTCTGGAAAGAATATGTAGCAACTCCAGTAAACATAAAATTCTGTTGCCTTTCAGCCTGAATAATCATAAGTGTCTTACTGAATTTACTATTGACTATGTATTTTTTATTATTATTACTATTGTGCTTCTTTCTTACCTAAAAAGCATAATATTCCTTAGAGATTCCTTATCACATATGTAATTTCTTAAATTGCTATATTTCAATCTAATCATAAAAAAGAGTGTTTACTTTAAGTGATGAGTGCAATTTACATACACAATGCCAAAAGCCCACCTTAGCTTGGGACTTAACAGTCTGTTAAAATATTATTACTCCTTGCTGTGATAGCGGCAGCTTCTGAGATGCTTAGATATTCAGATAGCATCCTCTTGAAAGAAGCCTATGTTTCAACAGATACACGTACCTAAGTTCAACAACCCCCAATTTGCAATGCAATAATAACAAATTATCATTGTAAGCCTGGAGAAACATCAAATATTGCATGAGAAAATGGGTCATGAACAAATCATTTGTCATTTCAAGACAGGATGCTGCTATTTAAGAGAGACACATTTCATTCTGGATTTATCATTTCCTTTGTCATAAAAATTACTTTTATCCTGCCAATGGAGTCTTAATGGTAATCAGGAATAACTTGATATGTACTGCCAAGCTTCAAAATAGTTCTCTAAAATACTGACATAATTAAGTTGTTGCTTCTTTGAATACTTAAACCTTGTTTTATACTATTTTGCAGTGTGTTCAGGAAATAACTAGAATAGGCTGTGAGATTTCATACACATTCTTAAAAAAACATTCTAACTGCTGTTCCCTTAATTGATTTTCTTTATTCAGTGCTATTGAAGAAATCATATTTTGACTGATTATATAGACTCCTTTGGTACTGCTTTGTGTTAAGCTCTGTTACAAAAGTTTAAGTCATATTAAGGTGTATCATTTCAAAACAGAACTAAGAAATTTGCTAGTAACTGCATATGAACAACCAGAATACATATTCTAAAAAGTACAGAATATTTTTACATACTGAGAAACTGGAATTCAGCCAACAAATCTACAGTGAATTAGCAAGTGCCATGTAATTAGGAAAAAAAAATGGATAAGCTGTATACCTGTAGGTCTTTGTAAGTTCTTTTGAACCAATATTCTTCTCAGAGTACCATCCATAGATGATTCCTCTATGTGAGAGCGATCCCCAATAACTGTCCAATACATCATCCTAAAATAACATAAAAAATGAGCTGGATGCCTATATAGAACCTCAAAACACTGCACTGATATGAAATGACTGTGAACTTTCCAACCTACGCAAGAGATGGGAAATTGATCCTGATTTATACACCGCTAAATTGAGCAGGAATGTTCAGTAAATGACTTGGAAAAGTTTAGACATTTGTAGACATCATTTTATTTCTCTTACCCTACTTTGCATTTTTGTTTGAATTACTAAAACAGTGTAATGTTGAAACATACATACCCCCTTTTAGGATTTACAGCAATTGCATATGGTTCTCCTGCCATGCTGGTAAGGAGTCTGGTACAGTTCGGTCCGTTCAGTTGACCTACATTGATGGAGTACCTCAGACTAGTCCAATGCGTCGTGTAGTAGCTGAACCAATGCATTCTGGAGTGATCAGTCCAGTAAATATTTCCAGCAACCCAGTCAACAGCAATGCCCCTAGGTCTTTTGAATTCTGGACACTAAAAGGAACAGATGTTGAAGTCAGATTTATGGAAATGATCTTTCACAGCTGCTGCACAGTCACACAACTTTTTACAGTCAAGTAACTTTTACCTTTAATATGGTGAAATATTTAAAAACACTGCAGTAGAAGGACATAAATTCCAGCTGTAAATGATAAGGTCTGTGTGATCTGCTAACAGGTCTATTCAGTGTATAAAAACAAGTCAAAAGTTCAAAAATGGTTTCTCAAGTCTAAGACTACCTATGTTAAAAAAGGCATTTAGGCATGAACTATTTGATAGTGAAGCAAATAAATGTTACATCCTTTAATTCAAAGGAAAGGAAAAGAAAGCAGTAAGATTATACAGCTATTATACTCCATGCAGAACTACCATGTGACGTCCCATCCCAAAGCCCTCAGAGTGAAAATGGTTTATACAGCTATTATACTCCATGCAGAACTACTCCATGCATGTGACGTCCCATCCCAAAGCGCTCAGAGTGAAAATGGTGCTTGAGACCATCCTGAGGTATGGCTGCTCAGCAGTCTCCCAAGGATCAATAAAATCACTGCATTTAGAAGACTGCATAAAATTACCTCTGTCTTCTGACTAATACTTGTCTGAAATTGTAAGGATTTTTTTACATATTTGTCTTCCCTTGCTGGTAACAATTCCTGTGTTCCACCACCAATCGAAACTAGAGTTAGTACAATATTCAACTTCACATGAAAAAGGGGCTTGACTGATTATAACTTTAGAATTAGAAACTCTAGTATCTCTGTAATGATTTCACAATTATCAATGAGCTCTAGATTCTACAAGATGGTCCTAAGGATAGAAATTCATATTGCAAATATGAACAAGTTTCTCTAAAGTTTACTGGAATTCCTGCAGAGAGGAGTAACATCTGTAAAATAGGACTACCCAACTAGTTCTAACATGAATAAAAATACCAAGCATATCATAAAAAATTCAAGACCCACATCAGCTAAATACATATGCAATTGTTTGCCTGTCTACCTATAATAGCATCAAGCTAAATTAGGAACAAAAAATGGCTATTCCTTGACAAATGCAGTAATGGAGTGCTACTAAGCTATGTAACCAAAAATCAGGAAAGAAAATCCTAAAATAACTTGTTTTCCTTCAGGTGGCAGAGATGTCTAATAACATAAGACATTTGTAGACTATTTTCATCATAAAATAAAGGTCATTGCATTCTCTAGGTGAAATAATAGGACTGCAAGGGTGAATTTAGATTGTTCAAAAACCTTTAATTCTGCAAAAATGTCATAGAATGCATGTTCAAAAAATACTCCAAGCCCTGACTTTCTATTTAGATGAGTATTAAAGCAGAAAAATCAATCACTAGATTCACAAAATAGTATTTCTTTAAAAACGGGGTCACAGTCAATGTTTTCAACTGAAACAAAATAGAGTATCATAATTCTTTGTTATGAGACTATGATACTGGAAGAATATGCTTCCAGAAATTCCACAAAACCCCCTTTTTTTTCCCCAAGAAATTTAGCATTTGTATGCAACAACCTCTTTTTTTCTTTGTTACAGTATCAAAGCAACATTCATGTAAAGGACAAGACACCCCAAAATGTGGGTACTTACAGATAAGCATCATTGTATTTTTAATCCAAACTCCTTTTAATTCTGGGTAATATGCAGGCACCTGTGTCAAGAAGTGTGTCTCATACCTGGAGATCTCTAGTGACTACTTTGGAGAGTGCAAGGGTTAATGGCATCGGCCTACAAGGCTGGAACCAAATACTCTTTTAAAAGGAGACGTGCTGTCATGGACATCACAGTCCCTCACCTTTCTTGGGATTGTTTACACTAAGACTGTATTTTTTGGAACCTGGTAAGCCCATCATGAGAGCTACCATCCACAGTGAGAGATGGTTCCCTTTCTTGGGATTGTTTACACTAAGACTGTATGTTTTGGAACCTGGTAAGCCCATTATGAGAGCTACCATCCACAGTTCCCAAAAAGCTGGTAGTAGAAGCAGATGAGACAAAGGATCCTAAAAAGATTCTGGAAAAAGTTTGGGTTGCTTACTAACCCTGACCCTTTCTCATTCTTTTCAACTCTACAGGAGAAGGGAAATGCTGGGATGCGTATTAAAGATCAAATGAACAAGGAGATAATCAGAAGAAATGGAAAGTGGCCACCTGATGCAAGAGATTAAAAAAAAAAAAAGAGAATAAAACACGCTAGCTGATGCTTTGCCTGTGTAATTCTCAGTTGTGTTCGTTAAGTTTCAGCCAAGCTACATCATATTTCTGATGTCTTATACATCTTCTCATACCGTTTAGGAAAATTACTGTAAATGAGCTTTTACCTAATAGCTTATTTGGATTATGTTAATTTTAAAGAATGATATTGCATGCAGAATAAAGATGAAAATACAGGAACAAAATCACATTAATATTTTCTACACTTATTTCAGCCCACTTTGATGCTAAATACAACGTACTGCAACTGATTAGAGAAATTGGGGTTTGAAGTCTAATCGCCTTTTATAGTATGGTAGTCTCTGCACAGCTACAGACCATGTCAGCTTGATGACTTTTGATCAAAACTACTGCCTGTTGCAAAAAAATAAAAAATAAAAAAAAAAGCAAGAGAGAAAAAAAAAAGAAGCTGCACTAGCAGAGCAGCTTGGATTTGGAAACCACTTTGATATAATGGTACATTACAGAAAAATTTTGAACCCTAAAGTTGCGCTTTAACTGGAGACAATGTGTTACACATGCAGCAGGAATTCATCCCCTTGTAATGCTTAGCATTTTAACACAGGAAAACTAAATCACAAATCTAATTTATATCATAAGCACATGTGAAGAAATATTTTCTCCATTTACTTTACAGACAGTTTTGCTATGGCATTGCATAGAATAAAGTAAACCAATGCTTTATTTGTTGCCTAACATACCTTCATTAAAAAAAATACATTATCTAATGACATATTATTAGAACAGAAAAAATAAATGTGAAACAGCAATACTAGGAAACTTTTAGACTTTTACTTGTCAAAACAGAAAATATTCCTTGACAGAGGAGCAGCTCAGTAGATGCAATGGTTCACCAAACCACCCTTTGCATTAGAAAAGCACGATCACTTAAAAATTCCAACCAGCTGATTCCAGAAAGAGAGAGTATTCTAAGTACATAAATTCCACCCACACAGAGACATAGCTTTAAGGTAAAACCATAAAGTAATGCCAATTAGAGAAATCAGACTAGAGATTGTTTCTACTCACAGTGATGCACTGAATTGGACGGGGCCCTGGGGCAAAGGCTGGGGGTATATAGGGGGATATATCACAGGAATGGTTAAGGGTCCTTGTTAAGCTCTCAGAACAGTGGGTCTGGAGCAAGCTGCTAATATACTGACTGGAATCATTACAAAACCTACGTTTTTCTTCGTATTATAATACAGTACAATTATTTTAGCGTTCAGCTTTGCGTCTTCTTCCATGAAAAACAGCACTTGAGTTTAAGTGGCAAGTCACTCTGTGTTGAATATTCACCTCAGGTAAACTATACGTCTCTCTCCATGGATTACACCCGTAAACAGCTGTACCAGTTATCACCAATTCACTTACACCATCTTAACCTGATTGGAACACAATCCTCTCCTGCATCTGTCAATAAACTCTGAAGAGTTGATATTTACTATTTCCTTTAATGCTTCAATTTGTACCAAGCTTAAACCTCTTTTCACAGAAAAATACATGAGATGCTTAAAGTAATTCTCCAAGGAAGGCTCTTGATATGCTAATTCCATGGAGCAATTTCAGTTGAGATGGATTTTTGCATTAATGTAATTACCTGAAAATGCAGGTGACTTTGTTGAAGCTTACTGTCCTGATTTACATATCAAAGTCTAGATATAAAAGTTAGAATGTAACCATTGAAAACTTATCCATTTAAAAACTTGGGTTAAATTTAAGGAATTCTCAAGCTTTTCAAAACCAGATTTAAGTGACAATATTAAAGCAACACTATAAAACCAATTAACCTACTGATCAGTTATATATAAGGCAATAATATTTGAGTATTAATGAGATAATACTGGGAAAATACTCTGAAGTGACTAGAAAGTATCCTTGCGTCATGGTGAAACAGATGAGAAAAGCAAAATGTATTTCAGTACTTCAGAAAAATAATAGCACTTCTAAGAACGTTCCATCCTCATTAGTTTAAACAGGGAGACAAAGTCAAATCAGCTATGAAAATTTCAACCCCCAGAGTATGAAGAATTCTCAAGGAAGCTTATGTTCAATTTTATGGACCTGTAAGAAAGTGTAAATCCATTAGAGAGGCTGTGTGCCAGAAGACTACACTTCTCCTTGCAGAAGGCATCTGCAAATTAACCAAAAAGAAACAAATTCAACAAATAACAACTAAAAACCCCAACACTTGAATTTCACAAGACTCTACAGATTCGTTATTTTCTAATAATGAACACATTGCTATCTTTAGTTCAGCACTAACACTTCCTTGAGAATTTTGTAGAAATATATTAGACAAAATGAGTATCAATCTGCATTTATTTTATTTTCAAGTCAAGAGCACTTGAAATTGCCCTCGGTTATAAAAAAAAATGCATTTCTGATGTAAAGTGCAAAACTACATACTATGCAGTTCAACATATAAAGGAACATATACTTATTTTCTCTAATTTGAAATGTTTGTCATAGCTTTGCCAATCTTATTGTTTATATGGTCACTATAGAAATCAAGCTTTTCTCTGGCCCATCGATGTTTCCTGTTTTCCAAGGATTTGAAATTCACACCTTTCTTTAAACCATCTGTTGCTTATTTATATCTATTACATCATCTCTTTTCTCTCTTAAAATAAAAAATCTTGAGAGCATACAACCTTTCCAACTCTCTCTCACACGTTATTTCTCTGTAGAAAAATATTTAAAATACTATAGTTGTGTTCTCTTAGAGACTTGACCAAGTCTGTGAGAGTCTTGAATGGAAAGGCATTAGTACACATACATACCATTTGAATAAAATCATTCTCAGATGGACATTTTAGCTTACATGTTATTACAGACAATCAGAACAGAAAAGTAAATTGAAATAAATTAGTACCATGTAATCTTTGATTTTGATCACTTACTATCAAGCCGCTGTTACTTTGCCTTCTCTCTCTGTCATGAAGTTTTCTGTAGAAAATCCCTCCTGGATTAAATTGAGTGCTCCAAACAATCATGTCCCCTTGAAAATAGGCATCCATTCCAGTTATCCTTGAATTATGTTCAATATGTGATATTTGCTGATGAACATCACTGTAGTTGAATGGATATGCAAAACCCAGGATGTCAGTGTCATTAGCAACATAGAGAACTTGATCTTCAGAGCCTAGGGATTATTATAATGAAACAAAAATAAGGTAAATGTCAACTAATGCAAAATCAGTGATTTTCATTCAAGTAGCTTTTGGGTGTTCATCTGATATAATTTCTTATGTTAAAATTATTTTTCTGATTGATGAAGACTGCAAAAACACTCACACTCTGGGCAATAAATGCAACTCTTCAAACTCTGATACCAATTCATATTACTTCAGTGCTCTCCAAGCTTACACTGTGACACCTAAGACTATATTTTAAGGAGTATTTAATAGAAGAATTTGAACACTTTAAGCAGTATACAAAAATGGGGGCTATTATGCATTAAACCCATATTTTATTTTTATATAATTATATTTTATAAATATAAACATCATTTCATAATGGATATTTACATCACTACATTTATATATTTATTAAAAGTAATTTATATATTTATATTTTAAGTATATGTTTTTATATGCATGTTGTGTCTAGAGGAACATAAATGTACACATTAAAGGTACACAAAGCGTTATTTTAAACTGCCGAGCTGGAAACTAGAAATGAAATGTTCCTGTCTTTAGTGAAGGCAGCAAAGTTTTGAAATTGACGGCAACACCAGCAAACTGGACCAAAGCTGCTACAGAACACGTGCACTTGTGTCATAGCTCCTCATTTCAGACAGTGAACATTTATGGGTACCTGGGAAGGGGATGGTATTTATGGATACCCAGTTACCAACCTGATGCAGATGTAAAGTACATTATTCATAAGAAAATGCTGCCTGCTATCTATTCATTAAGTTTTGAGAAAATCTCATATTCATATTCACTGGATACAATAGCATGCATTTGCAAACTATCAACTTATAATAATGTCTGTCCAACACACTTCCTCCTTATGAGTATGAAATATCAAAACCCATTTTTCCCCTCACTCCTGCTAAATACAAGAAGAAAGAGGAGTTCCATGAAAGCCAGTATCAATGAGGGAAAGAGGGAAACATTAACTGTATTACAATGGAAATGAGGCTTGCAAAAAATTCGGATGTAAGACAGCGATTCTCAGATTTTTAGAATATAAAACCTCAGAATTATGTCTGTATATTCTATAATAACAAGCCACTTTCCTCAATTCGTAACTGTTCCCATGTTGTAATCTGACTGCTTCTTCAGCAATGATGCTAAATCCTGATAGAGTCCACATTACATATAGAGCAAATTACTAACGACTCATTAATGCGATCTTACCATGGTAAGTTTGCTTCAAGAAAACGTGAAAAAGCATGTAAGAAACCTATGACCATCTAACTGCAGAGCCTGGGTGTACCTATACTGCTGATTGTTGTGCCACAAAGAAGGAAGAACTGGAATTAAAGTGATACAATCTGTTCTGGTTCTAGGACCTAAGTCCACAGCATGTGTGTACTGGCCATAGGGTCCAGAGCAGGTACTGCTCACCATCGTGCACCAGGTATGGACAGAGATGTATGAGGAGTCACACATTCTGCACCGAAGACTCCAAGTGTAGGCATTAGTCAAACTTCACACCAATATCTCACTAAATTGCAGGTGGGATGCTATGATCGTACTTTCAGTTATTCAGGTGCAGACTCATAAAGATTATGTTAACTTTACTCAGGCAGCTGGATTATTGCTTGTTTCACTTCTAAAATGATTTAAAAGTTACATAGTTCCCAGACTTAACTATTACTCCCCATTTTTGGCAGTCCCTCTGCCTTAGGAAAGACAGAAATAACATCTATGTGTGCATGGTCCATCTTCACTGGACCATAATCTAGTCAGCTATTTATATGAGGAGTACATCCTTAGGTGACTATATTTGGAAAATCTCCACTTAAATGACTTCTGTAAGATTTCCCAACAAGACAAAGCAAAACATTAGGCTTAACTCCAAACACTACTTAATTTATTCCTAAAGATCTAAAACATGTTTCTAGGAAAGAGTTGATTCTTCTCTCTCACTGCTAAAGCATCACCAGAATGCTTACAATCTTGCTAATATATAATCTCTGTTTCTCTTATTTGTGCATATCTTTCTGTAAACAGCGAAAGCTGGAGTTGGAAATGGACTTTCCTATTACGGATGTTCATTTCCATGGAAGTGATAAGAATTTACTGCTTACCAAAACGAAAGGTAAATCTGAGTGGTTTTGAGAATTATTTCTGTGCACTATTCAAGAAATATTTATCTAAAAATAAATTGTATATGCAACACATTAGTGCTACCAACCACGTATGTAACAAATGATTTAATTCTGTCTCTCTATTTTGATTTTTATAGCCTTACCTTTTGCTATGCAACTGTTATCCCTCTCCTTATAATTTTTCTCGCACGCACATTTGTATGACCCCTTAATATTATTGCAGTGTTGGGAGCAGGCACCAAATACCATACATTCATTGATATCTGTGAGGAAAAGAATTGTAAGTTATATACCTATAGTATAATAAAGTATTATTTAACATGTTCAGAAAATCATGGAACAAAGAAGAATAAAAGGAACTCGTAAGCATTGGTATATCTTGCAACAGCAAAAGGAAGCCTTCTGCAGTTATCACTAATGTTATTTCCATTGCAATCAACATCTCAGAAAGATTTTTTTACCTTATTTCTTCATCCTTCCTCTATCAACCTATTATCATTACAGCTTGAAATCAATTGTAACAGACATTTTCATTCTCCAAGTTATACATACCTATAGTCAAAGATACATGATTATCCCCTACCGGAAAAGCTCCTGCGTACACCTTCTCCTTTGCGAGGCAAACAATGAAGTTTATATATTCACTTTCAAAGTCCCATTGACGTGATCTCCACTTTTCCTGTAAGTTACTGCTCACCAGTAAGGAAATGAATTCACAACCCACTCTTTGGGAAGGTAGATTTACCTTATCTCCCCAATCAACTCTTTCATTTCAATCAACTCTTCATGACAACCATGTCTTTGTTTCTGGCCAGTGTGGCATCAAATATATGAAAGCTACATTTTCTAAGGAATTTTACTTTCTATCTGTTTATTTTCATCTCAATTGTTTTTAATGCATCTTCATTATTTTAAGCATCTCAAATTATTCTCATATATTGATTTAAACACCAAACCCAATTGCTCAGTTAAATAATCTACTAGAACTTAAATAACCCATTTACCCCTTAAATTATAAAATCATTTATGGTCTGACATGAATCTTTTGACATTCACAACCAAAGTTAACCTTTCATAACCTCTCCGTGTAAAATGCACAAATCTACATCCTGTAAATCCTTTCAGTTGCTTTTCTTGATTTCTTACTCCCGTAGCTATGAACCAGTTTTTATTCCGTGGAAAAAAAGCATGTGATATGCATCTCCTTCCCCAGCATAGAAAATTGACAATGCAGTTGACTCTTAATAATTTATAGCAAGGAATGTTGGAAAGATCTGTACCTTCACATTGTCTGTTCCTCTTGTTTCTCTGAAATCCAGGTTTACACTGACACAGTAAGGATGTTTCTGTTTGATTACAGTATGCATCATCTCCACAAGGATTCACATTATCTTCACATGTATACTCAGCAACACCTAAACATAAACAAAATGTCTAAAAAAATACTGATAGATATGTTTGAACTGTTAAAAATGAGATCTAAAACAACAACAAATAACAAATTTAGAACTGTTAAAAATGAGATCTAAAACAACAAATAACAAATTTGACTTTTTGTTAAAAGATAAATTTTGTGACATTACAGTATTTACTACATATGCATATAAACTGACAGTATCTAACTGAGATAGTTCATTTCACATCAAGAATTTAACACTAAAATTTATCTTGTTTCAAATATGAAATAAAATACAATTAATAGCTAAACTTCAAAAATGCAAGAACTACTCTAAAAACTACTACAACCTGAATTGATATAAAATTTGCTTTCCTTTTATGGTATGTCAAATAAAATTAACTTTTCTTAACTAAAAAAAAATAACTTTAATTAGTTTCTGTGTTGCTGAGTAGGTTTTGCATGGATGAAAGTCTCAGTTAATTATTTCTTTTCTGCTACAATCACAAAAACATATCTTGTCAGCCAAACTCACTTATTTTGCAGTCTTGCTCATCTGAACCATCTCCACAGTCATCAAACCAATCGCACTGGAGCTCCATTGGAATACATTTCTTATCATTACAAGCAAACTCATCTTTTTTACATGGTCTTGCTTTATATGTGATTTTATCTATATAATTAAAAATTAATCAGAGAAAAATAAATCAGTATTTAAGATTCTTAGATCATTTTAGACACATACAAATGGGAATGACCATGAAGCATTAAGTAACTGGAAATTACGTCAAGCTTAATTTCAATTTCAAATTCTGATCTACTAATCTCCAGTTAAGCTTTACTGAAGGACAAGCAGATCTTTGTAACAAAGTTTGTCAAGTTGTTTTCTTTGATCTGAATGCCTTGAAAGGTAATACCACCTACCACAGTGATCTTCATCCGAGTTATCACCACAGTCATCAACGTCATTGCAAATCTGCTCAGGTCGCAGGCAAACCCGGTTGTTTCTACATCTGTATGGCCTTGTTGGAGGGCATGGAAACTTTACTGTATATTAAAAAAAATAATAAAACAGCTATTACCTAGCTAATATTCTGGAAACTTCTTTAATGTGTCTTTATCAAAGCAGAGAGCACACAACGTTCATTACATATGAATGGTACTTGATTTTATCTTCTGGTAACTAACGGGATAACACTTCAACAACCTTTACACTGTAAGTTCTTCATTTAGAGAATGAAATTATTTAGTGTGATAAGGATAATTACACTTCTTTTTGAGACTCAGTAAATATGACAGAAATAAAACAAAGGAAGTCAGAAGTTTAATGATGATGAATATTTCAATGTAGAAGTAACTTTTTCCCATCTATGCATTTCCTACAAAAATTTCTCACAAATATCTTACCAGAAATTGCATGAATAGCAATAACAACAAAGAATTATGTCCCACATTTCAAGCTAATCTTCTAAAAGTAAAATAAATGAAGCTTAGATGCATATGTCCTTGTATATTTCTGTACATTACATGTCATTTCTTGCTTTACTACATGAAAAGCACTGAAAAATGTAATGTCATACCACACATTTCAGCGACTTCATCAGAGTTATCTCCACAGTCATCCTCGCCATCACAAACCCAAAAATGAAGTTTGCAGAGGGAATTGTTGCACAAAAATTCATCAGCTCTACATATGTTTCCCCCTGGGAGGATGAAAAGATGACAGAAAAAAACCCCAGGAAAACAGAAAGAATGTCAATTATTGATAAAACCAGTACGATCACTTATGACAAAATATCAGCAGAGAATGACACCCATAGAATAACTAAATGAACAAATCCCCAGTGAAAGGGTTGAAGAGGCAGAAAGAAATACTCATTTGAAAAATCCCTGCCTTGACCATACACTTACTTCAATTTTCATGACTTTTAGCTAGGAATTACCTATTTGGCCTGACTAGAAAGGGCAGTCACCAAAGACAGACACTGACAACTCACCAGCTCAGATGGTCCCCCTGCCTTTAGCCAGCAGATGCTTAAACTATCTTTCTGTCTGTCACTTCCGTTGGTGATGCTGCCTTTCAGAAATTACCCAGCTGGGTACATCAGTGATTTGTGCTATCGGATACTGGTACAAACCAGAAGACAGAAAAATGGTCAAACTTGTGAAAGGCCACCTCAATCCAGGTTTATTTCAAATGAATGTCTGATCCTCCACCTATACCTGTGCCCACACTCTGAGCCACCCATGATGTTCAGAAGAGACAAAGTGACTGCAGTCTCTTAGCCATGAGGTGGCACCTTTTTTTCTTCTGCTCAGTAGTAATAGGCTTGTAACAACCCCATCAACTATAAACTCTCTAATTAGGGAAGATCAGGCCATGTAGGCACAGAGTAGATAAGACCAGGTGACCTCTAACAGTCTCTTCCTTTTTGAACTTCTGCAATTTCTCATTAGGATATTTACTGAACACAGAATGCAGGCAGATTAAATTCTTCTGTGTAACTTCAGCATTGATTGAACTCCGAATCATCTAACAAAAAGGAACAGAGGATGAAAGAAAATATTTTAAGCTGGAGTGCTAGAGCTTTAAAAATTGGTTCAAGTTGGATTCAGTTTTAATATGTGTAGCAGTAACAAGGCATTTTGTTTCAAAATTATGACTAAATTTTAGCATTACCAATTAACAAAGTTATGAAAACATCTTCAAATTAATTTTATATATAACACATTTTTATGGTGACTGGATTCCTAGTTTCCTGGGAGGAGTGGAGTATAGAAGAAATAAAGCTGTGTACCTGCAGAGGAGGAAACAATGAAATTTTATATGATAACACCAAACCTCTCACCATTTCTTACCTCAGTGCATTACACCAATGCTAATACTTAGATCAGGCTCCAGTGGCGTTTCACTTATTCAATCAGTGCCCTGTTCACACCCCATTAAAATCAACAGAAGGCTTTCTTTCGCTATAAAGGGTTCAGAATGGCTTAATTTTTTTTCCAGAAAATTAATTTGCATGAAATACCCACCGTGTAATATGTAGGGAACTCTTACACTATGCTACCAAGTACAACTAATTCCCACAGCAAATATAACTTATGAACATTAACAGAAATATTCTTTACTATCATCCAAGGAAAAATATATAAAAATCAAGTATTCGTTATGATGAGAAACATGAACATAAATAATAGCATGTGCAATCACAATAAAACCATAATTCTAGTGGTATAATAAGACTGAAAAGAGCTATGTTTATAAATATGCACAGTGAGCTACAGATAAATATCACAGAGATTGTTTTAGAATGCTGTGGAATAAAACTCCATTTGTGTTTGCTGTATTTCCAAAGAGGGGAAAAAAAAACTTATCAGTGAGATAAACTGGCATTTGTTTCATGTGATTGCTCTGCCTGTCGTAATTCTGTTATAGAATAGATTTCTACAACAGAAATCATAATTGTGACATAAATACAAAGTATTATAGCAATAACCAACTAGGCAAAAGACTTCTTATTGCATTATAAGCAATTTGCAGTTCGCAGAAGCCCCATTATGCTATTTGAAGAATAATGTGGGCTTCAGATAAAATAAACGTGTTACTACTTACTTACACTTCATTGGATTTTAAAGAGATACAGTCCAGATATTTTAAAAGCAGTTTTAAAAAGGACTAGAAGATTTTAAAAACTTTCTTTATCTCTGTCTTCTTAAAACAATCAATTCTTCAACACTTCCAAATACGATGTTTTTCTCTTTTCATATAAACATCTCTGGAATATTATTTCCATTTTCTCCACTTTCTGGTCTCTCTTTCAAAGTCAATCATCCCATATAATTCCTCTTGTTTTCCCCTACTGGTAAGTGTTGCTAAATACACTTATGACAAAATAAAGGAAGGATTTTTAACTCCATAATTGCTTGCATCATCTCTGATTGTTATTCCTTATTATCGTACTGCATTATGCTTTTGAAGTTACACACATGCCATGTGATTGTAGATGACTAACACACAGAATTACTGACTTTAAAGAAAAGATGAAAACTCTGGAAAAAAACCAAGAAGCTGACAAAATGCTCAGTAAAATTTTGCTTTTTTTAAAAAAAATAATCTTTGATTTGAGTGGGAAGTTCTGTGTTTGTCACAATTTTTTAGTTACTACATTTACTAATACTTTTGTGCAGAGTTACTTTGCTACTGCCTGGTAGCTGAAGAAAGGTCCAGTTAAAAAAAAAAAAAAAAATCAGAAGCAACTACGAGAATTAGATCAACAGATGAATTTCTCAAAAACATATTTGGAATCTGAATCATAAGCATGGAAGTCTGAGAGTAGTGTTTAGCTTCTTGAGAATCAATTTATGTGCATAGTTCTGCTCTCTAAGGAGAGTGAGAATTCAAAATGTGGTTTTATGGGTTCTGGTTAGTTGCAACATTTCATCTCCATGGAAATAAATAGAAAACTGGGGTCTTAAGATTACTTATTTAGCAATTTTTCATTATATTGCATGGCTTTGTAATTTATTGTTGCCTATAAAGTGTAAATTAACTGGACTTATTACCGATTTCTCTGATGAGACAGAATTCGCTTCCAGTAATAACACAACCTTTTGGTCCTTGGGGATGGAAACACAAAGAAGGAACAATGAGCTGTTATAAACAACCTAAGTTTTGTTTTGCCATCCAAATCGTTTGTGAAGCTGCTCTACTGTCTTTGTCAAAAGAGGTCACAGAGCTTTCATTTCATCACTTGGAATGGGCAGGGTACCATTAACTTACAACGGATGTTCATACAAACCCCAATAAAGTAAGCCTTTTAAAAAAGAAAATGTCTCTTGCCTTGGTCACAGCTTTCTTCATCACTGCCATCCACACAGTCATGGATCCCATCACAAAGCCATCTGACAGGGATACAGTAGGCCTTGTTTTTGCATCGAAACTGATCTTCTTTACATTCTGTTACACAATCCATCTGTGTGAATACAGATATAAAGTATTAATGAAAGAGCAAAACAACAACATACTTAAATACAAACATAACAAAATTTACCACCACTGTTTTTTAGTGCTCTAAGTATTTAATACAATAACGTTGTGCCTGACAATGGAATGTGTAATCTAAATAGTTGCTAAAGTCCAAGTGAAATTGTAACCATACATTATATATGTTCTGATATTACTTCTTTACATTGCTTAGTATCAGCAGTGGAAACAATGGCTACATGTATGTTTCTGAAGTCAACTGTCCTACAAGAAACAAGCCTGGAAACGAGGCCAGTTAGTGCAAACTAGATTATATTCATATTGATCAGGACTAGAAACCTCCAGAGTGGATTGTCTTCTCCTGGATTTGGCTAAGGCATCCTTCACACTCTGACTGGCACCCTTATGGCTCCGAGAAATAACAAATATTTTTGGTCTTTTTTCTGGAAGTTGTTCATGAAGGCATAATTTATTTAAAAGATATCAACAGAGCAACATGTAGGAAGAGCATGGCATGAAGGTCAACAGAGGTGCCTGCTAGGATTGTGTTGGGTGAATCTAGAGGACAGAGCGAGCCAAATGTGACACAAACTTGTTCCTCCTGCCAATATGGAGCAGTCCCTGAAGTAAACTCTCCCAGAACCACACTCAGGTTTTTATTTAGGGGAAACAGACTTCTCTACTGTGAAAGGTGGCCACAGAGCAAAGAAACATAATGCAGTGAAACTACCAGGGAACAAAAATCTGTTATCTGACAGCGTTCAATGGATGCAAAAAAAAAAAAAAAACAACCAAAAACCAAAACCCAAAATGTTTTCCCTTTCAATTATTTTCAGACCTAAAACTGCTAACAAATTTCATGTCAGACAGTAGGGTAAAAAAAGTAATCAATGAAACTTTGTCATTACCTCATCAGATCCATCAGTACAGTCATACTCTCCATTACATTTCAAAGATGCCGAAATACAGCCTCCACTTGCACACACGTACTCACTTGAAGAGCAGGTTGGAGATGCTGGTTACAAACACATATTTTAGCATTAAGAAAAAGGCAATTTATAAATAAGTTGCTTTATAATTTAATGTTTTCAGCCGGTTAACATAGTGAGCAAACGTATTCGTAGCTGACCAGAGCTTTTCCAAATGTTTGCAAACTATGATGAAATATTTAAGAAAGCTGAACTGCTGCGTCCTAAGGAAATTGTGTAATGATGGTGAAAGGATATCTGTGTTTTAACACTGAGAAATTTCTTTTTGTGTTTTCCTTATGCTTAGTAACAATGGTAACTACAAACATACACATATTCATACAACAAGCATAAAAAAATGAGAATATAAAGAATTGTATTCTTTAAAACAGGCTTAGGGTTTAGTTAAAGTTACGTAAGTGCTTATAATTAAATAAGATAAATTTACAAGAAACCATGGGTTTAGAAAGCATACATTATTACAATTAAAATAAATATATATTAGTTTTAGTTAAAATTTAGCTGGATATTTTTGCGCATTGTAAAACAGGGGAGTTTTGTCATAGACTTCTACCAGTTGCACCCATCTAGATGAAGCTTACAAAAAATTTCAGAAAATTCCTGCAAAAATAAACATCATTTTCTAAGACACGGAAAAGGAAATAAAAGAATAACATCAAAAATAATAATTTGCTAGAGAAAACCTTTGCATAAGGACTAGTAAACTTTGAATGAACGCCAAAAGCAAGAAACCCCCAGAGACACTTTAGTATTACGCCAAGAATTACTGCTGTTTTCAGAGAAGAATTTTATATGCTGAGTGTACGTTATCAAATTATATTTCAATATAATTAAGTACCATTCCCCCAACAAGCTTCATATTGCATAGCTGTACATAAGTGGGGTTTTCAAAACATGAGTAATAAAACATAACGATACACACATTCAAAAGTATTTCAAGTATTTCAGATTTCTTTGGATTCCTCCCTATTAGTGCCCAAGGAATCTCTATTTGTTGATTTATTTTGTCATTGTTTCATTCTGATTTATGCCTTCCATCATTTTATTTCTCAGCATCATTGACAACAATACCTGGTTCACAATTCTTCTCGTCTTCCCCAAGTTTGCAGTCTTCATGACCATCACATTTCCATTTTGCTGATATGCACTGGCCATTGGAACACTGGAACTGGTCTCTTGAACAGCCTGTTTCACAATACCTCTGGTACAATAAAAACAATGTATATACCAGATCAAGAGTTTAGTAAAAGCATTGGTGAATATAGAGCTGATACAGAAGTTACAGCCTATACTCCTCAATGCCATGACATACAGTAATGCCTTGTGAACTAAAATGTATTTGTAGACATGATTCAGGAAAGGTGGGTTGCACCCTCTAAGTATGTGGGAAGCACCTGAGCTCCAGCACTGACAGGAAAGGAGAAGGGACAAAAGGGACAGGAAAGAACAGTAAAACAGAAAAGCATTATCCAGGGAGCTTCTGCTACACAACAAACAGTCTACATTTTTTTCACAAAAAACCCCAAAAACCAAACTGAATCACTGCTGTCTGTAGAAAAAGTGGTTCTCCAGTCTGCTACACAACAAACAGTCTACATTTTTTCACAAAAAAAACCCAAAACCAAACTGAATCATTGCTGTCTGTAGAAAAAGTGGTTCTCCATCAGGAGAAAATATTTCCAGGATGGGAAGAGGACCAGTTCATTGCTGGGACAAAAAGATGTAGACTGTTGTTAAACACAACTTGATTTTATTTGCGTGTTCTCTTTTTAAGGTAACTGTTTCAATAAGTTTAGTTTTAATTTAGTAAAGGTATTTGCATACATGGATTCCTGTGTAGAATCCCCACTGCTGCATTTTAAAATATTCATATGTGGAAATTCATTCACCAACAATACAAAGCTACTAATTTTCTAAAGAAATCTTTTTTCCTGGAAGAGGCCTACCTCATCCGAGCCATCTGCACAGTCATAGTCTCCATCACACCAGAATCTTGCTGAAACACAGTCTCCATTTGCACAAAGAAAGTCTTTCAAAGTACATGTTTGAGGCTCTGAGTAAAGAAAAGTAACAACCCTAGGTTTATTAGCATTTCCATAAGACATTTTATACCTAATACCCCCCAATGAATGAATGAATGACTATAACAAAGTCAAAACCACTCACCTGCAAACTATGAGGATTTTTTTTCTGTAAGATTTTGTTTCATAACATTTTATAATTAAATTTCATTTACATAGAGTAAAACAGGAATGAGAATACTTCAGTTCTGTCAAATTTCTTCAGAAAATTATGTGATGCTGACTGTATAAATATTATTTATTTCAATGCATTCATGTTATTACAGGCTTTGTATCATATGTACCATGGACTAGAAATAAATTTTGCAGCTATTAATATCCAGTGTAGTTAGAACTAACCAGATCTTTGACTTTCCACCATGCAACAGCACTTGTCACATATCTTTTATCATACACATGTGTGTCAAGAGTCAGCTTCCCCTGTGCTAAGCATGCAGGGGAACAGTATTGAGATGGCAAATTGATGCCTAAAAGGTAAGGTTTGGAGTTTCGTGTAAAATCTGTTTTCCAGAAATTAAGTATGGGACAAAACGTAACAATAATCCACTGACTAAAATATTGACAAAATTGACAGTGAGATTTAACAGAATGAGAATACAGCCAGTGGCAACAGCCAACAGACAGTATACTTTCATAAAAAAACACTACTGTCAATTTGTTAGAAAACATAGAAAAGGGGAAAAAAAGGTAAGGATAAGGACAGAATTTTCAAGTAATTTTAAGGAAACAGAAGGGAGATGTTAGATAAAAAGAATCTAAGGATCTTACAGATGGATAGGAAACAGTAAAGGTTGGAAGGTAAGTGGGGTATTTTGCAATAAATGGGTATGTTGTTCTACTCCCTGGGAAGAAAGAAAGCACAGGAAGGTCTGAAGTCATTATTAAAGGTGGACACAATAAAGGGGAAGGAGTAGACACCGAATTAATTCAAGGTACAGAGAAAGCAAACAGGAGAAGCAGGCTGCAGGGAGTGATGGAGTAATCCTGAGAAGGTGAGATTGGCTGTTTCAGCCTATTTACTTCACTGTCCGCACAATTTTTGCTGCTGCTGCCACAAAAACACTTGCAAGGGGATCATGTGGAAGATTTCCCCAGCGGAATAATATGTGCTTTCCTCCTGAAAACAAACGCCATTGCAAAAGACATTGGAAAAAAAACAAATGACGTCTGGACTTTGGACCATTAGATTAAACAAGGATAGAGAAGTAGTGGGGAATGAGGAGAATTTAAGCACGTCTCTAACAGGCAATTTAGACTTTGCTGGTCAGAGAGAGAGCTTTGGGAAGACAGGACTGAAAAAGCAAACAAGGATTATTCGTGGGATTATTTCCATCACAGTAAACATTGCATTATGTAAATAATGTAAAATCAAGAATAAGGATTAATTAGGAAGACCTTTTCAACAGAGAAAAGGGAGAAGAGTTCAGGCAAATGGTAAATGCAGCGACTAAATCAACGGAGAGAGAGCAAAAAAGAAAGAGGGGAGACAGACAGTAGCAATGGACAGTAGTGGGCTGGGCAACGCTAAAGAGGCCTTCAGCTCATTATGGAAGGTGGAAGCACGAACGCTTTTGAAAAACATACCACAGTGATCAAGGAATGCAAACACAAAATTTGAGGCTTCCAGTTGAGAAGAATTTTGAAAATACCAGCATGAGAACATAAAAGATGTGAGTGGCACAGATCTAAGGTGAAGCTGAACTTAGGTGTTTTTCTGGATTTTTTAAAATAGAAAAATTTTTCAAAAAAGGAATAGTTTTAATAAAACTTTCAGTATTTTTTTCCTTCATAAAAAAAAAAAAGTCAAAATTATCCTGTTTGAATGTTTTTAAGAGTAATTTCATTTTTCAGGTAGACACAAGGTTTAATATTGAAGTTGCAGGGAAGTCATAATTAAAGCAGATCTACACCAATTGCATTAGTTCTCCAGCAGTGCTATCTTTAAGCAAATCAAAGGTTACCATTTATATAGATTCTTAGATTATACACATACTACTTCTAATTTTTTTCATAGCAAAAGCTCATTGTATAAACATTAGTATATCACTGACATTTGATTCTTTTTGTTGTCAACAGGCCAGGAAGAGGAAGTTCTAGATATGATAAAATATGGAAAGGAAATAATTTGTGGAAAAAGTAATTCACATGCAAATACACATTTGTCATGTTTCTATATTGATTTTCAAAATACAAGCAAATAAATTTTCTATACTGCTAATGAATTATTTATAAATAGAGATTCGATTCTGGAAAAATGTACACAATGAGCTAACTTCTCAATTCTCTGTTTGCAAGAAATATTTCTTCTGCTGCTGGAATACATCTCTGTGATTTACATATGAACACAGAACAGTACTTTCCCATCAGTGCTCAGACTGTTAGTGAAAGGAATTAAGTATTAATAGACTTCTGTATAACCAATGAAAGACAGCATCTTGCAGCTTCTACTTTATAAAAACACTGAAACTCCTTCCCAAGAAAAGCATTTTTGAATTATTAGAAAGAATTTTATTTGAAACAGAGCCCATAAGATGATCTACTTTCACATTTTTAAGTCTGAAAATAATCTGTAGAGCCAACAGACATTTGTCATCAAGTGAAATGGATGACAGGAGTATGACAAGAAAAGGATGTCATAAAAAACATTTACAAGAATTTCTTATTTGGGGTTCAATTTTGCATTTAATTATCATAGATATTACACTAAGTCATGAATTGAAAAGATTTTTTAGGGGACTGATTACTTAGATACAAATCAGAGGGATAAAACAACTTTTTTCTTAAAATGGGGAAGTTCAAACTTACAGCATACTTTTATCTATACAGATTAAATATGTGTGCTCCTTGTGAGAATTCTACGTTTTGTAACAGCTGTTACAAAGCCAAACTTCTAGATAAACTAATCTGTATATTAGAAAAGGTGGAACTTGTACATAGAAAAACAAATAACAGCAATACAAACATGGGATGGAAGCACTTCAGCCAAAATGAATGAGAGGCGTACATTGACCTCTTGATTCAGCCTGAAATTTGGCAGTAGATCACAAAGATTTAGAGGAATTTCTTAGGCGGAATTTTCTTGTGATGAATGAGTATTCATCAGATCTACTACTAGATGGTTGTGTTGGGGTTGAAACCTTTCAACAAGCCAAGCCAGAGTATCCTGTATGATGCATCCTCATAACATCAGCGAAACAGTACTATCAGGATGGTGTGGGTTAACCCCAGGGGGCAGCTAAGCCACGTGGAGCCACTCAGAAGGGTAAAAGTTCAAAAATTTGTGGGTTGAGAGAAAGACAGTTTAATAGGAAAAGCAAATCTGTGTGGACAGGAAAAGCAAAATAACAATTCATTCGCTACGTCCCATCAGCAGGCTGGTGTTCAGCTGCTCCCAGGAAAGCAGGGCTTCATCACATGTAATGTCTTGGGAAGACAAATGCCATAACTCTGAACATCCCCTCCCCCTCCTTTCACCTTCTTTTCCCCAGCGTTTTATTGCTGGGCATGATGTCATATGGTACAAGATATCCTTTTGGTCAGTTGGTGTCACTTGTGTCCCCTCCCAACTTCTTGTGCACTCCACTCCTAGCTGGCAGGGCAGCAGGAGAAACAGAAAAGGCCTTGATGCTGGGGAAGCAACAGCTAAAACATCAGTGGGTCACAGACAAATGCCATAACTCTGAACATCCCCTCTCCCTCCTTTCACCTTCTTTTCCCCAGTGTTTTATTGCTGGGCAGGATGTCATATGGTATGAGATATCCCTTTGGTCAGTTGGGGTCACTTGTGCCCCCTCCCAACTTCTTGTGCACTCCTCCGCTCCTAGCTGGCAGGGCAGCAGGAGAAACAGAAAAGGCCTTAATTTTGGGCAAGCAACAGCTAAAACAGTGCGTCACCAACACTGTTTTGGTCACAAATGCAAAACACAGCACCATAGGAGCTACTATGAAGGAAATCTAATCTATCCAAGCTAAAAACAGTACACACGACAAAATGGAAGAGGAGGAAAAACCAAAACCACCCTTCCTTATCATTCTCCATTACAATACTGCTAAAAACAATAATGGACCATCCTGCAGAATAAATGCCTGTAAACACAAGATAATTAAAGTAGTCATAGGCGAGTTATTGGGGTTTTTTCATCTATTTAATCTGGTGCTAAATGCAGATTTCCTTCATCTATTTATTTTCAATAACTTTGCGTATTTTGTACTTCACCGAAGACACTTAGCTTTTCCTGTCCACACAGATTTGCTTTTCCTATTAAACTGTCTTTCATATTAACTGGAAAATTGAGCTGGCATTTAACAATATCTATGAAAGCATTGAGGTCTCATTAGTACTGCTCTCTCCAACGTAAACTCTGCTTCCATGTGTCCTTGCCTCGATTCCCATCAACATGACGGCTTCATCTCTTCTGTCAGCTCCTACCAGACTGCTTCTGATATAGCCTCATGGAAGAGGATGTAATTCCCTCCAGTAACTTTCAAATAACAGATTTACATTCAGCTATATAAACATTAGATAAGAAGCCAAAGAAAGCAAAAAATTAGCTAGGAATGATGGTTACCACTACAGATTGTAAGACAAATAGAGTTAAACAACAACAGACTGTAAGACAAATACAGTTAAAGAACAAATACATAACGGGCACAACTATTTGCATTATACTAATAATAATTTTTCACACCCTTATGTGATACTTTTAAAGCAGCACTGTTTCATTTCTGGTAACAAGCACACAAAGAAACTATATGGAGAAATGTAAATACTTGAGCTGAATTTCTATCATTCAATGAATTCATTCTGCATTCTTGTGAAACAACTCATTTTCTGATACAGTTGCCTGACAAGCCATTTTGTCAATTCATGTATGCTATGAACAACTTACTGTAATGTGCAATTGCTTTTGAAGTTTTAATGTCATATATATTTGTTTCATTATACTTTATTCTGTAAGTGGCTTGACAGCACGTAAGAATTTCATACATCTATTTCAATCAGCTGAACCATATTACATATTTTCCCAATGCTTCCAGGATTTTGAATTTTACAACTGTGTCAGCTTACTATACTTGAACAGCAGAATAAGGGACTCGGCAGTTAGAAGTGAGGTATGCATTTGACAAGCAAAAGAAATTAAAAAAAAGAAAAAAGTAATTGGGGAAAAAAGCTAACACAAACTACAGTTCACAAGTCTCACTTCAGTTTGATGCACTGGCGGTGTCTGGATACTCTCAACTCACTTTGTTGTTAACAAATGTTTATCACTGTATCACTAAGCAGTTTTTATGATTCTAGAAATAAGAATTGTGATATGTAACTTATTGACAAAGATAAACTAATTGTAATATTTATTTTGAGTTAATTGAATTATTAACAAGTCATAGGTCAGGCATTTCTGCATAGCTGATACAGAATTACAGCTCCTTTTAAAAAATGAATATGATTTGAGAATTTCAGCAAGGGACATTTTCAATTCTGGTCAACAGATTTTCAACAGATCAGATGGCATTACATGTTGCTAAACTGACTCCACTCCTTATAACATGTACTTAGGTAAAAGTTACTTACTACAGTTTTCTTCATCGGAATTATCACCACAATCATTTTGGCTGTCACATCTCCAATGATCTGGAATACAGTTGTTGTTTTTGCACTGGAATTCATGAGGGCCACAAGTTTTTTTATCTGTAAATAAGATTAATATGATTTACATCACTGCAGAGTCAAAATGGGAAAGACTTTTAGTAAGCAGTGACATAGCAATATTGCTAGATACATTTAAGATGGAGTAACCATAATACTTGAAATGCTACTTTCAGAAATAATTTACTTCTCTTATCACATTCTTTCAGATTCTATTTGCTCATCCATACCAAAGGAAATATGCTCAGAAAGATGAGGATAAAATTAAAATATAGACTGTATATATTTTCATTTAAAGTAAAAAATATAAAATTCAGAAGTGATCACAGCGTATTAATGTACTGAATCTCAAAAACTGCATTGACTTTTCCTTGAATGTATCTGTAAGATTGCTTTACAAAAGATCAGATCACAGGAAACCTCAAAAGTATTTATTTGAAAATATGCAAAATATACATTTCTGAACAAGTTATGTTTGCATATCACAAGACTAATCATATCTGTCAGAAAGCTGCATTTTGATTTGCTTTTTCACCTTCTGATATCTTGGATTGGAAGTCTATTTATACAAAGTAAACAATTATGAAGTATATAATGCTAAACTGAGATTAATCTTCTTCATGCAGTAAATTTTCAATGAGCTTTCCTGTTTACAAAGTAGCATTGTAGGCACAGCCTCTTGGAGATGCATGAACACCCTGAACTCCTGCAGCAGGAAGGAGTTTTCTCTGCGTTTTATTTATATTTTTTTTATTTCTTGAGTAATTCTTTCAGGTTCTAAGGACTGAGATGAATGAAGTAAATTCAAAAGTTATCAGTGACATTTTCTTAAAAAAAAAAAGAAAAAAGTTTGATTTGTAAAAGCTTCAATGACATATTCAAAATTACATGTCACTGTGATGATACTTCAATAGAAATTTTTTTTAATTTCCATTAGGCTATTTCATAGCAATATGAAGTCTGAACTGACATGCTATCACAACAACTCGATGAGTTCTAACAACTGACAGAATGAAGGAGGACTGAAACACTAACTTAAATAAACCTACTTTCTCTGCCCGTGAAATGGAAAGGACCACAAATTAGAGGTATTAGATTTGATGCTATATCCCAAACTGCTGCTTTTTGTGCTTTGTTTAGGTGTGATTCTGGAACTAGAATGATAAATCAAAACTACATTTGAATATCAAGAAGATGGAGGTAAATGGTACTGCAGCTCAGTTGTGTACACTCAAAAATTTGGTAAATACAATACTTCCTTTTGCATTTATTCATTATTCTCTGCAATATTGTGATTGTAAGTAGTTTTCTCTCAAAACGCTTTTTCCTATGGTGTTTCTCAAGATGACAGTCTATGACATTTCAATCATGACACTTCAAATACTTGCACTGGCAAGCACTCAAAAAATATTTAACATTACAAAGCATAAAATATCCTCCCTCTCCCTGAAAATAAGATACTCCTTTATTTTTTTTTTTCTGTAGCTTGGCAAAAGATCAAGTTTCAAAACAGAAATCCAACCTATATTTATTAAAATACTTCCAAGTAAAGTCTACAGTCTCCCATTAACATACCTGCCCACAAAATGAGTCCTAAAGACTAATGACAGATTATATTCTATTTATCCTTCCACAGTCAACAGAAATACCAAGACTTAAGCAGTAACACAGAGAAGCCAGAGATGACATCCCTTCATTTCAGCTACCTGCTAGGATGAAGACTATACGCAATACATATCTTCTTAGTCTTCATAAAGAATTATCTCGCTCTCAAGAATGCTAAATCCATTTTCTAGCATTGCCTCTTTACACTTGTGAAGAAATGCAAGATTTATTTTTTTCATTTAACCATGTGTTATTCTTTCTCTTCTTACTCCATTTTTACCAAACACAAAGAAATATTTCATTGTTCCTGTATACTAAATAATTTGCATTCTTGTAAAGCTCTCTTCTTCACTTCATAAATCTGAAATCTTTGTTTTTCCTTTGGGTTGACTCTGATCTGATATCCCGTAGCAGCTCACGCTAGACTATGTCTTACAAACCAGCTTTGTGTATTTCCTTCGTCATGCGAATGAGAGTCGAAAACATTAGGATACTAGAAGTAAGATAAAACAGAGGAAGATTTGGAGAAGTTGTGTAACAGTTGTGAGGCAGACTGATTTACTCAGCTCAAAGGAAATAGTGCAAGACCTTATTTTTTGAATTGTGGGATCCTGAAAACAACACACGAACTCACACACATTTTGTCATTGCTGTCTTCAAAACTAAATTGCTTTCCATTTTTCTTAAAATAAGACCACCTTAAAATGTGAAAGTACAGATAGGAATAGTACACACAAAAGTAGCAATTATTGATAACTCAATTTTTGTATTTCTCTCTTCAAATTATTATTAAGAAATTCATTGCTTTACTGTAACTGGCAAAGGGCCCGTTTCAGATATTTGTGTGACTGCCTGAAGAAGCTGCTGGTGCACACCAAAAGAGGATTTCATTCTGGAAGTAATTCTAAATGAGCATGAAGAAAATATGACAGAAATGGAAAACAAAACAAACCCTAACATATTACATACGCACCCTCAAACTACTTTAATTCAAATATTAACCCCTATGAAGTAAAACACTGTTTTGCCACTAACTGCACTACATTGCCATTTAGGGATTTTAATTCCATATATGTGTGTGTTTGTGCACTTGTGTTTGCGTGTGCATTCCTGAGAGGGATAAAATCCAAAATGAAAAGAAACTCGCTTTTGATGGAGGATCAGCTAGCTGTTCTGGAGCTTGGCAGGCTGTCACTGATGCTGGATACAGGAAATTATTAGCCTGTTGAAGGAAGTTTAAGTTTATACAATGCATCCTTCAGATATCCTGAGGAACATATTCTTCATTATCAGAAAAAAACCCACTTTGACTACGCTAAAAATAAAATTAATATTAAGAAGTGAGAAAGTCAAAAGCAGTCATACTACTATTGACACATTATGCTAATAAAAACCTGAAATACATTTAACCTTTAAAGCAGATCATAATCACTTTCCAAGACCGCACAGAGCTTTCTTCAGATTCTAACTCAAACAGGGCCTTTTGTGATGTAAAGTATTATACTTGTGAGCAAAGATTACCATAATCTAATGACTTTTTTTAATTGCCTGGACAGAAAGCATGAATTCACTTTACCCACTGTTCTTTGATAAACACCATACACTTGTTAATAAGCATTTCCTAATTCTACTTCAATTTTCTGGGTCTGACACTAACCACAGAAGACTTAACACATTCAGACTACTTCTAACAAATTTACTCAATATAATATCACCAATGACACACAGCAGCAAATGTTGACTATGCAAAATATATGACTATGGAGCACTTGAGCAAAAAGGAGATTATCATTTATACAAGTTTTGCATTGTAAGCATTTTAGAAATGAACTATAAACGATAACGAGTTTGTATTAACCACCAAAACAGGCAGATCTTTATTATACTCGGCTTGCAGCTTTGTAATTTAAGTCTATCAAATTTTGTTCATAAAAGTAACCTTCTTTAAATTAAAAAAAAAAAACCAAAGCAACCCAACAACCATTGCAGAAGACCAAACCGTGTTCAAACTACTGCTATAATAAGGTCATTTAAATGTAATTCAAATGCTAAAATTATGGAAAACTTTAAAATGTCGTTAAACCCATCCTGTTCTTGTCAAGGCTTAGTTGTTCTACGAGTGTACATAACTATGAGTGGCACAGAGATTTGAAACACAGATAAATTATTCTGTCTCCTCCAACATAAAAATGAAGACTGTTATATGCAGCTAACAGATTTAAAATAAAAATGGAGGTGGTTTTTCAGGGAGGTGAGTAATTAAGCTGTGGAAGTCCTTGTTACAGCCTGCTGTGAAAGCTTTACAAAGGTTACAGAAGAGTGAAATCCATCGAGGGTTACTGCATAGAGAGACATATTTGACTCACAATATCTCTTGATTCTCAAATTGTTAGAGCCTGGAAGAATTTCCCAGGGAAGTGTCATTACAAGCCTGCTTTGCCCGCATATTCTTCCCTAGATACTAGCTTTCAGCCACTGCCAGAGACAGAATAAAAGGTGTTGTCTTAGATACGAACCAGGATAATCAGTTGGATATTTTGTGCCTGAAAAAGGCATTACACCTCTATACTATTTAATTGTTTGAGTAATTTCGACTTTATTGGCTAAAAAGATGAATCACAGCGAAGCACCTATGATAAATACAGGTTCTTCTGATCAGTGTTAGGGTTGGGTTTTGGGGTTTCTTTTTGGCTTTGCTTTTAAACTTTGTGTCTTGATGATATTATTAGATTAATTTTTTTAAGACCCTTTGTTCCATATCCGTTGGGCTTGTAAGGGTTACTCAAAAGATGAATCCACCGTTTAGAAGCTCGGAATCTGTCCGAATTTGAAGGACACGGCACGTTGGAGATCAAGGTGATGAGGCACAGTGCAGGAGAAAACACCTATGAAGTGAATGAAAAGGTGAGCAGGGCAGGAGTAGTTCTAGAATAGCTCACAACAGGATATCAAGAAGTCTCTATGACATATGTTGATCTCCTTTTATAATCTTTCCATTCACTGTTTCTTCAAGGCAAATGTTTACGGATTGTAACCTCCCTCCACTTGATACGATTAATCAGTTTCCCCTTCTTGACAATTCAAACGATGGTCTTGTGTTTTCAGTGTTGAGGAAGAGATCAATTTCCTAGACATATTTACCAGCTCCAACATTTTCATATAAGTGCTTTTATCCATTGCTTGAAACCTCTCCATGGAAATTGTCTCTCAGTGCTTTGTTCTGGACTACAGCCTGTAATTTTATTGTTCTGTTGTCCCAGTGGTAGCATAAACTCATCCAGACTCGTGAGTTTCATCAAAACATTATTGATGCACAGATGAATAAAGGTCAGAGCTTTGAATGTTTTGTATTATTCTTCCTGTTTTCTTCCATCTCAGAATATTTTTCCTTCTTTTCCTTTATAGACCTGTCTTGAAATTTCCACAAGTTTTTCTGCACTTGGTGAGTGCATCTTTTGAATCTCCAAACAATATTTTCCAACAATATTGATCCACTTATTCTGACTGATTATCTGTAATCCATTTCCCAGGTGCAATATTGCATTTATTATTTTCTTTCATTTACAACAAAAGAGCTGCCCCAGTACCTTCCAACAATGCAAGCAATGACTGATAACAGCTTCTACTACTATACAGTTATCTTTTCCAAGTGATGATGAAAAGCAGGCATATACAACACCACATATAGACCAATGGGAAAACTGCTTAGATACTTTCAACTTTCTACAAGTATTGTCTTAATAAAACATTTTAAAATGTTTCTGCAGAAATATAATTGATTCATCTATTCTGTCCATGAGAAACATGCTAAAAACTGTAGTTATAAAAAGAGTTGTGATCTGACAGTCTGTCCATGAGAAACATGCTAAAAACTGTACAGTTATAGTTGTGATCTGACAGTCTTCAAAAAAGGAATGAAAGAAATTCTTTAATTCAAACCTACTAGTTACATTCTAAAAAATCTGCCTCCATGGGGAAGAATGCTGTGGCTACTGTGTAAAATCTAACAGAAATTAGGGCTTGGTTTAGTAATGGTGCACTTCTATCCTTGACAGAGTATCTGCCTCCTCAAACTATCAGATTTAAGTACAGAAGTTTCATAAGTATCAGGGGTTCTTGAAGAAGTCCTATGGGATGCAAAGTTCGTGGAGTGGTGTGTTAGGGCACATAACTCCCTGGAGCTCAGAAGGAGAAGCAACGTTGGTCATGCCAAGTTGGAATCTGCTCTGGACCCTTCTGCACAGCCAGTCTGAACTAACACAATCTGCAAATTATTACATTTTCCAGTATTTATTAACTACAGCAGCAGCAAAGAACGCAGAATAAATTGACAGCAACTGGATAATACTATGAGAAAAATCAAGATATTAAAAGTGAGATACTATGAGAAAAATCAATCAACTGGATAATACTATGAGAAAAATCAAGAATGTCATTACATTCCAAATGAGATACTCCTTTACAGCATCTGCAAACAAAGTAGTAGTATAATATGAAGTTTGTGGACTACCCGTATGAAGATCACCATTTAACAAGAACTGTATGAGCCAGATACAGCTATCATATCAGATAGGCATTATTGTACATTGAAAGAGGACATATCAGGCTGGATGATTATTTCCCTTTGCTACGTTTTTCAAAATGTCAAGCTACAGAAATATACTCAAACCCACTGTCATACTCACCACAGTTGGCTTCATCTGATCCATCAGCACAATCTGGGTCTTCGTCACATACCCACAATTTTGAAATGCAGTGTTTTGTTGTTTTACACTGGAAATGGTCTGGAGAACAACTGTTTTCAGCTTTAAATAAAAGGATTTCAAATTAAAACTAGACATGTCTAACAATATTCAAAATATTTGTTTTAGAGAAAAAAACCCTATCACTACATTCCCTGATCTAGAGTCCCTCCCCATCTCTCCTGTAGGCTTCCTATAGATACTGGAAGAGGCTCTAAGGTCTCCCCCAAGCCTTCTCTTCTCCAGGCAGAACAACCCCAACTCTCTCATCCTGTCCTCACAGGAGAGGTGCTCCAGCCCTCTGATCATCTTTGTAACCTCCTCTGGACCTGCAGAGGTGCTCCAGCCCTCTGATCATCTGTGTAACCTCCTCTGGACCCGTTCCAAGAATATAGGTGGAAACATTATGAGCTACTTTTTCATTATGTTTTCCCACATGAACATTTGTCCCACTTTTATCTAGTGAACTCCAAAAGGTTTTTCCTGTTGAAAAGCAATTTGATCCTTGATATGATGATTCTTATTTATTGGGTTTGGCAGGATGAAAAATTTTAGGCTTGTTAAAAGTTGATGTATTATTTCTTTCATTGTCGTGTTTCCATATATAAATTTAGAGTGCTGGAATGAAAAAGCATTTAGACTTGGCCATGCTTCTAACTCTACTTATAAAAAAAATATTCCTGATTCTCAGCTAGGACACCTCACCAGGGGATATCAAAGTGCTTTACAAGGAAGACCAGCATAATTACCTCCATTTTACATATGGAAAGCCTTAAGTATGAAATGTGACTTTTTCAAGGTCGTTCCAAGAATATAGGTGGAAACATTATGAGCTACTTTTTCATTATGTTTTCCCACATGAACATTTGTCCCACTTTTATCTAGTGAACTCCAAAAGGTTTTTCCTGTTGAAAAGCAATTTGATCCTTGATATGATGATTCTTATTTATTGGGTTTGGCAGGATGAAAAATTTTAGGCTTGTTAAAAGTTGATGTATTATTTCTTTCATTGTCGTGTTTCCATATATAAATTTAGAGTGCTGGAATGAAAAAGCATTTAGACTTGGCCATGCTTCTAACTCTACTTATAAAAAAAATATTCCTGATTCTCAGCTAGGACACCTCACCAGGGGATATCAAAGTGCTTTACAAGGAAGACCAGCATAATTACCTCCATTTTACATAACAGGAGAGGTAAGTATGAAATGTGACTTTTTCAAGGTCACTTGAAATATAAAAAAAAAAAACGCACTGGCAGAGATGAAAAAGAAGTCTCTATCTTATGAATTCCAGTCCAGTGAAATTAGAATGAAATAGCTAATCTCATCTGTTACCTGTCTTGTGACAAGAGCCCAACTCAATATGAACTTTGTGGTAGACCTAGTTAAACCTCCCCTTTTTGTAATCTCCCCAAAGGCAACTGAAGAGTTTTCAGAAGCCACAAGTAAGTTTTTATTAAAATATAAACTAGAACACTTAACTTTCTTAAGAGAGAAGCTAATAAAGTCTAGGCCAAACAGAAGAGAAATAAAAAATGTAAATAATTGACCTCCTCCACTTCCCACTGTGTCTTTGCAGGTAGGTTGATGGCTGAGTTTCAGACAATTCAAAAGCTTGTTTTATGTCACAGCAGATTGTCCTGTCCTCACTAATCCCTAAGAAGTTTTCAACTCCATCATGACTGATCCCAACCCGATCCAACCCTATCCCTCCCGCAGTCTCCGAGCACTGCTGCTCTGCAGACTCCTCTGCTCTGATTTCATTTCTTTTCTGACAGGTACACCTCAAGGTTTTGGGAGCCTTCCATATACCTCGTGCAGTTCTTTATAATGAAAAAGCCCAATCTCCCCTATCTTTCACACTTTACCTGATACCACTTAATTTTTAAAGAAACGTAACATGCAAACCAACATATAATACTGTCTCTGTTAGAGGCTACAGCTCTGCTGAGCTGCTTGGAAAATGGCCATTAAACATGACCATCAACAAAGCCTTTGTATCCTTAGCAACCCTTCCCTTGGAGAAGGCCATGTTCTTTCCAGAAATGCAGCATATGCAAACCTTGAGCTAATTCAGAAAATAGGAATAAGCACCTTAGATCAGCAGTAGATCTGAATAATTAACTAAGTGAAGCACTGAGATTTCAAGAGAGCACCATCATATAATTACAGAATGATCAAAGACACTAGCTATTCAATAATTTCAATTCCAAATCTGAAAATATAAAGACACTAGCTATTCAATAATTTCAATTCTAAATCTGAAAATATTTTCTCTATGTAATTTTAAGAAATATGGAGTGAAAATGAATTTATGAAAGAATGTATTAAAAGCCGAGTAAATGGAAATAAAGTTACACAGGCAAATTAATGAACTCCCCACAGGAAAGGGAATAGAAAAGGTAGAGAACAGCATCAAAGAAAAAGGATGTAAAAGGAGCTGTGGACCTACATCTTTTCCAAGAAAAGACTTAGAAAAATATCTTTTTTCATTGAAATGTGTTGCTGCAAGGCACGGCAGATGAAAGCCTCAGGAAGATGAGTCATTTGTGAGGTGGTTAAGAATAAAATGGATGTTTCAGCCTAAGTCAGAAACCCAATTAAATGCTTGAAAATAATTGTTTACACACCCTTCTTCCTTGCAATGACTTTGAAAACAATGAAGTTAATCAATGACATTTTAGCTTGTTCTTTTGTATATGAAGCATTGTACATCAAACAATCCCATTAAGTGTTTTGCGTGTTAATTTCTATAAAGGACATTTACAGCATTTTACATATTTTACTTCAGTTTCTTGTTTAAAACCAGCTACAGTTCTCAGAGCAAAATTCTCAAAACATAACTTACGACAGTCTCTTTCATCTTCTTCGTCACCACAATCATCCTGTCCATTGCATCTCAGATTTATTGGAATACACTTCTGGTTCTTTGTGCACTTGAACTGCCCAGACAGACACACATGTGTGTCTGCAAGTTATAAGAACAAATATATCATGTTAAAAAGATTAAAAATTAAAGATTGAAAGATTTAAAAATATAAATGAGTTTCTTGATAAAATTAAAATTTCTTGATAAAATTTACAGCATGGCATTTAAATCAGTTTAGCATGTTTCTGAAGTCTACAATACATATAATCACCTACCACAGTTCAATTCATCAGAATTGTCCCCACAATCATTTTCTCCATCACAGATAAAGGCTGGAAGAGCACAAAGTCCAGTTCCGCACTGAAAACGTCCTGGCTGACATCTGAATTCAGCTGAGAAAAACAAAATCTGTTTATCGATACTACCAGAGAAGTGGTTAAAGTATCTCAATAGTGAATAGTATCAAATAGTGAATAGTATCAATAGTATCAAATAGTGAATAGTATCAAAAGTTCTTCCTCTATGGATGATTCAAAAGAACTTATAAAACTTTGGATTTGCCCATATAGTCTCAATCTGAGTAGATTTTAGAAACTAAAATGCACACATACTACTGAAAAATTAAATTCAAATTCTGATATTTTAAATTTGCATAACTACGGTTTTACCTTACTCATGATACAGAGTGCAACCCTCTACAGATTGATGCTTACTATTAGCTCAACATAGACTTGCAATTTAGGACATAAACACTTGAGTTCAAATCTGCATATGCAAAACTAATCTATCCCACTCTAATTCTATTCCCCATGAAAAGCCTAACATTGTTCCTTCTCAGAGCCACTGCCATTTGAGCGAATGAGCAATTATGCACCTTGATAGTGATATTTTTTATAACTAGGGTAGTTTAAGTAGGGTAGCTTAAAATGTAATCTTATGTAGAATGATTACATATGTTATAGCTTGCTTCAAAGGCCTCTGCGGCAGAAAAAGAGAACTAATTATAAAATTGTAAAAATAAGGGTGAGAGATTTCAATACAAAAATATCAAATGAACCATTACTTAATTGGAAGATTATAGAACACATAGTAAAGCATTTTGAGTGTATAAACTTGAGGGAATAAGGCAAGAATATTTTGATTTATGTAGGTAATATAATAGTATTAAAGTAGTCTCTGACTGGGACTGAAAAATAGCATCATCAACAGATATTACTGTTTATGCATCCAGTCCACCAGAAAGGTACTTTTCTAATAAGTAAACTTGCAGTCAGCCACCATCACAGCAATCATCCTTTGGGATGCTGAAAGCAACATCATAATTGACTTGCAGTTGCCTACAATTCTAGAGGGCAATACTCCAGTAACCTACTACTCGGACTACAGGAGGATATGGAGAAATACGCTGTATCTGCACCACCTTCAGGATAGTCTGTCAAAGTTAGACAGGATGCATGAAGAATAGAATTGTTCATATTGGAGGGGTGAGATTTAGCTCTTCAAACTTTCCTTTGACGATATTTCTAAAACTATAAAATGAAAATATTTCACTATTGTGAAAAATGCACCGAATCTTTAGCAGGAATCACATGGAGAACACTGTTATTCAGGAAATGGTGCTAAATAATAATGTGTAGTTAAACTTCTAAAACTACAAGGAAACATAAGCAAATGAGTTTATAATTCCATATTTCTATTATATACAAAAAAATAAACCAAATAAATCTGGAAGATTTTGTATTTATATATATAAATCAGCAATCTCAGAACACAGCCTTAAAATAAAAATCTTTAGTGAAAACATAACTGGGAACACGTAGAGGTTTAAAACATGAAAAACACCTTATAATTTTCTGAAGACCTTAAAAGACCTTTGGTAGATGTGAGTTAATGAAAGTCTTTTACAGGCTGACAAAGAAGAGCTTGAGCTCTTTGTAAATCTGACAGAGACCAAAGAGAAGAAAACAGTGTGGCAAACAAAAGCATTAAAAAAAATAAATCCTCCGCCTACCATCTATAAAGCGTTATATTTGATTTTGACCCTACTGGCAAAACAAGGTGCCAAATTCAGAATGCACTTACGGCATTCCTCAGGCTCGTCGGAGCCGTCTCCACAGTCATCGACGGTGTCACATTTCCACCAAAACGGAATACATTTGTCAGTTTTGCAACGGAACTGTAAAAGGAAGGAAAGAAGGAAGAAAAGCTTTGATATGATTTTTTTTTTTTTTTTCTAAACAGAAATAGTACAGTTTATGAAAAATTAGATTCACTGCTTAAGTCATTGTTCCATTAATCAACTCTGGCTGTTAATTCTGTAAAACTTATTTTTTCTACTTTTTTTTTTTTTGAGATGTTTTGCACTGAGACTTCTGCTTATACAAATCATTGTAGTTTCAATGACATTGTTACACTGACTTATAGCGCCCCGATATAGACGACTCATTCCATTTTGCTGCATTCTGTGATTTGTTCCTTTTAAGATCTTATTCAAAACAGCCACTCCAGATCTTAATCAGTCTTTGTAGCCTGTTGGATCAGACTTAATATCATTTTTTCCAGACAAACTAAAACACCTATAGTTACAAAAAAGGGCCTTAGCATGCAGTGTTGTGCTTGTGTATAGTATTGCTTATATTGTTTGAATTAAATGAGAAAACCAGAAGCTAGGCCTTCCAACCTTTCAAAATAATATAATATTTGTACAAAAAAAAAAAAGAAGAAAAAATCGTTTGTAGGACCTTGGCAGGGCCTTTACTCTCCACTCAGGCAACACTGTACCTTTGTTCTGATTGAAAGAGGAATGCAAATAAACAAAGAGTAGAAATTACTTGATGCAAACTTCTAGGGCAAAACCTAAAATCAGAGTGTCTAATACTAGGGAGAAGAATCTGGACAGATTTTCAATTTTTAAGAAATGTCCTTTTTCCTACCTGGTATCTATACAGACACAGAAACGAAGGAAACCGACAGGTTTAGAATTACAAGACATTTTATTTTCTGTGACTAGACATAATTTTTTCATTTCTTCACATTTTTAAAATCATTGATTATTCAATAAAGCTGTAGTTAAAAGGTATATTAAATTTGGAGCATCAGCTCAGTTTTATCTTTTCTGCCAAGAAAATTTAGGGTCTTATGGCTATTTATGTGGTAGGAACTGTAGTTGGAGCTACATCATTCTTGTGGGATGTGCTGTATAACAGGCTGGGTCTGAAAGGCAGCTCTTCTAAACTGCTCATCTGTTGCACAAAGGTACACATCTCAGAGTAGCTCAGCTAAAGGGCCTCCAAATATGGAAGACAAACAGAACTCAGACAATTTTCATTCTTAGTATTTTCCACTTGCTCGTCTAGCCTTCCTGCTGCTTAGTTGTTTTAAGGTTTTCTCACCACAAGGGACTTCAGGTTGTTAAAATGACATTATTAATTTAATTCCAGGAAATGGGTACTAACTCTTAGAAGCTGCTACATTCTGCATGAAAAACCTTGCATTCCCATCCAAACTGGGGAGTCAGACACTTTGCCAAATCAGGGGTCATATGAGTGTGCCTGGAAGGGACTGGCTTTTAGTGTTCCATAGTCTGATGCATTTTATACTAAACAATTTCTCACGTCAGATTAGCCACTGAAAGACAGCCAAAAGTCCAAAAGACAGCTGTAGATGTGCAGCATATCGGACATCCAACTCCTTTTCATCAGAAATAGCTAACAGTGGGTGTGTCATCAAGATCAATTCCACCATATCCATACCATTCCATCCAGCTATGATTTTACAGCATCATCTGAACATCTTAAGTAGCAAAGTATACCTTCACCACTGATTTCTGTATCTGATGCCATCAGATTGTCAAATTATCAAGCAGTAAACAGATTTCAAAATTGAAAGAAAATTACTAATAACCAATGCCAACTTGTAACTCCTTGTCTGAAGTATCTTCTTCTATTTAACCCTGTTCTCCCTTCCATGGGATCTACACATGATAAAATAGTGTTCCTGGAGGATCCAAGATGTGATACTATCCTTCAATTCAGACAACTACAAATTATTTAGAAAGGAACAGAGCCATTCAATCAACTGCTAGCATATCATTACATGTCAGAATACCTCTCCAGTTCCATTTAAAGAAAATCTTAAAAAAGAAAAAAAAGGGTTTTTTTAACCAAACAAATTTGAGAAGCTAGATATGGGAGGGAAATAGGTAAGAAATCCCTCATTTTACAAGTGGTTTACGCTTTCCTTTTGTTCATCACTTAATGGGAAGCAACAAGCAATCTAAACAGATAAGATATGATGAACATAGTAAAATCACCCCAAACACTAACTTAAAGGAACCGAGGAAGACAGTGGAGAGCTTTCTTAAATAACAATATTACTTGAATGAAACTTTACATCATTTATTAAATTGGCCACTGGCCCCTAAAAATTAAGAGTAAAATCCTTTCCTTAATGAGTACAGACAAAACGCATCATGATGTAGAACACTATAAAAGGTTGTTAGCGTACATATAATAAAAGAGGGTACTAAAAAAGCTGGATGACTAGAAAGGTTTTAAAGGCCATATGTACTATTGCAATCAACCAATTAATTGTCTGGGTAGAACAGTCCAAATACTTTTATCAAAGTGGTTTCCTCGTAAGAAATCAGTATGTTTTACTTAATCTATGTTACATTTTAAGAAAAAAAAAATCACCAAATGTTTATTTCAAGTAGGAATCCACCTCCCATAAAGAATTAAATGTTTTAATGGAAGCTTAATTAATTTAATTGATATTAATTAATTGTATATTCTACCATTGTCACTTCAGCTATAGGGTTGTTTTTTATGTAACCCTATTGTTTACCTACCTGGGCTGAGCTTGTTTTCCTGTATTAATGTAAAGTTCATTCACACATGAGTACTCCCAAATCATCGTTATATACACTTCGTATTTTTATGTTTCATATTTTATACAAATGTTTTTTCCAAAGCAATTTTTATGGGTTTAGTAGCTGTATTTGTTCTAGTGACTGGCAGAAACATCCACATTTGAAAGGGAACAAGTTCCGCATCCTCTAGAAAAAAGGGCATTTGCAAGTCTATTTTCACCTAATAGCCTTGAAGATGAAACGCTTTTAAATGCACCGTGAGTTACTAAGTCTTCAACTCCTCTGAACGATGCTCCCACATTTCATAGGCACCAGCATTCATTACTTAAAAGCAGGTGGAAAATATAATCCCCATGAGTCCTCCCCTCCATAGGTAGGCAGTACCTGACTGGCAGTGCAGTTCGATAAGCACGTCTTGTTATCTGCAGCGAGGTAGAAGTTAGTGGGACAGGCACAAGTAGACATCTTGCCAGGGGCCAGAAGGCATAAATGACTGCAACCACCATTGTCTAGTGTACACAGATGTTTAGACACTGCAGACAGAACAGGAAAAGAATACCAGCACTTATTAGTTGAGTATACTTCAGGGTATCTGCTTTACAGAGGAAAATAAAAATGTATTACATGTACTGTTTTTACAGTGGAAGGTCTGAAATCAAAACCCTATAAGAAGCAACCTTTTCCTTTTGCCTTTAAGCTATTCTCCACTGTATGCAAAATTTAAGTATTACTATGGATGTAGATTCAATACTGAAAAAATGAGAAGATGAAAAAGACAGTAGCCTTTTTTTAATAGTGAAACAAAACGTTAGATTATCTAGGTCAAGTGCCAAACAATTCAAATACAGGGACATCAGGAGATCAGACAAAATTGTAACGCCTACGTTTCCTGACATTCCCTCAGTCCAACAACTTTCTAAACAAAAAAATTCTGTATTATTAACACTTTCTTACTTTCCATATAATAAATTTAAATGTTTCATAACACACTGTTCCATCTTGATAACCAGTAACTTGTACTGTAATGCAACTGAACAGCTCTGTACCTCCAGTCACGATCTGATTTACCTTTTAAATACCCAAATTGTTAGCTTGCCACTGAACAAGATATATCACGTTTATTTAATACCAGATATACTTACAACATTAATCACAGATTTGTGCTTAAAAATGCTAATTTGAAAACTTCCACAATTTGAAACAAAACAGAAATAAAACTAAATCACTGCAGACAAATGAGCTTCCATTTATTCAGCAACTGGCTACTCAGTGAAATTTATCAATGTGCAAAGTACAGACAGAATAATTACCATCAGGTTGCCGATAAGAATGATACACCTGGATGTCTGTTATGGTATGCCAGGAGTTAATCAGCGATAGTCTGTCTGATCCAGAGGTTTTGTGGGCACGGCTGAGTGATTTGGTTTTCCCGTCTGTCCAGTAGATGTAGTCTTCAAACAACGTTAGTGCAATCACCCCTGGAATATCTTGATTAGGGACTGTAAGAAGAGATGCTAAGATTAATGCTCACTCTTGGAAGACTGCCAGTTAAAATATTCCATACTGCATGGGTTGACAGATACAACTGCTATATAATGTCTTGAGAATAATTGTCATGACAATATGTCAAGCCTAGAGGGTTCTTTATTACCAGTTATGATAAAGATGGATGGGGTATGAGCTCTGCTTGCTTAGAATTAGATGGCCCAATCAGTGTTAAGGAAATGAAAGAATCTCAGTATACAAAAATCACCTCCAGATTCTAAACCAATGGCATGTTAAGCTTTAAAAAAGCCAATATTCATTTGCTGGTTTAGCGAAATAAGAATTATTAGAAAACATCTAAAACGCAAGGTATACATCTGCAGATGCGCGGGGTTTGTCACCCTTTAAGACATTTAATAATATTTTATTTCAGCAAAATACACTGACAGAGAGATCTAGGAAAAAAAAGTTTTACATTAAAATAAACATAGCAATGAAAGGGCTTATTGTTTATTCTTAGCATAACCAACCATACAATTAAAAATAACAAAGTGATGATAATACCCCATTGTTACAATATCATAAAATTATGAGCCAACATAGTTTTAAAAAGGAAGGACAAAAGGAAGAAAAAGCTTCTGATCACATTGGTCAATTTCTAAATTATAATGTTTTGTCACTGAATCACTCTCATTATGTGATAGAATTGAAAAGGCAGATCAGAGCAGCTGAGTCTGCCATTTTTAACCAGCATATCCTTAACACCTTTATCTTGTTTTCTTAGACAAAAATAGCTTCACCTTTTTACCTGGGCTGTGCTTAAATAGATTTGGCAAATTTCAAATTCTAGTGGGAACATTTCATAGTTCACTGACAACTGATACTGAGTATATGGAATGACAACTTAGCAAATTCAATTTCGTATACAATAGCCTTGCTGATAGAGAACTCCAGTGTAGGGCATGTCGCCTTCTAGTCAAGGAAATCCTTCTTCTTTGACCTGAAATTATTTTCCCTTCCTGTATGTTAAAATATTACGTAGCCATTATATTGAAATAACAGTATGATATTCCTTTAAAGAGCTTCATAACATTTCTAGGAAACTAGTCAAAGCACAAAGAAATCTTAATTTGGGCACTTATTACATAAGCAACTTTGTCATCGTTCCTTACATAAGTACCTTTCCTTACATACACTACCCCCAGGAAAAGCTCTTATAATTTCTCTTATTTGTAGAATCACATTGTGAAAAGGGGGTCTACAAATTTGAAGCGAATCACTCCCCATGGCCACTGTTGCTGTCCCGTTCTTCTGAGCCAGGAAGGGAAGAATTCTTGAAGTACCATTACTTTTAGTTTTGCCACTAAAGTAACAGACCAATTACAACACAACAAGGATACAGAAACTCCAAGCACAGATATTTCCATTATATTGATCCTTTTTCCTCTTTTTTCCTTATTTTATCACCACTGGATTTATCAGAATAAATTGCAAAAAGAACCTCCTAGTTTGGGGGAAACACGCAAAGGCTAGAGCAGGGTTTGTCTGTCCACTGGAAGACCTATATGTGCTATCACCCAATGAGATCAACTACTTGCATGTTAATTTTATCCCCTCTCTGCTCTGGAGTGAATTAAATAATTCCCTTGGTGGGGAAAATAGTACCCAGCTTCAACCTAGACATAGTCTGGAGTATGGGTATATCTCCAGTACTGCAAATGGTGAAACAAACCCTGCTCCTATTCAGAGTTGAGCCTGAGCAGTCAAATGCCAGTCATTACCTGGTTTTATTATTATTATTTTTTTTGCTTAAAATGGGTGATTTTCCTTGTACTTCTTGAGATATTCCTTAAGCTCTGCACACATCTTTGTTAACAATGAGTTCTACTTAATAATTTTCCAGAAAAGGCATGTATCCCGAATTTTAATTTTTAAAAGTGACTGATCTTTAAAATGCTTTAGCATAATTATTGATTGGGAATACTAATTATCATATCATCTGCTAACTACCAGATTACTGCAATTAATTAAGAAAGCATAGAATTTACACATTCATGCAATTTGGAAAAAGGAAATTATAACTCTGAATTATTTCAGAATTACTAGTTCATCGAAATCTGTGTACATGCATGCCCTCTAAAAGAAATACCTTTTTGGGTTGAATCACTATCCAGTATTTCTGCAGATGCCTGAAAAACTGGACTCATTCTGACGTCTTCTGTTGCCACTCTCCCCAGTCAGTTACTTCCTCGAATTTAAGTCATTTATTCTGCTGTTATATTCACCATGGGATTTGGAGCACAATCCACTGTGCCATCTTTATATATGAAGACTCAGTTATACTAAACTCAGCACTTTTTCTTTTAGGTAGATCATAAGCATTTGTTATTGAAAGTTGTTTTTCTTTTTAACCTTTAAGTTAAATGATTGTGCCACAGTACAAAAATTAAAAGACAAGCAGGAATTTTAGGTACATCTGCAAAACTGCAGGAAATTCCCCACTGATCTAAAAGGGCAGTTTCTAATGAGAAATACAAACTGGGCTGACAGAAGAAGCAGGAAAGAACAGCAGAGAGAGGACTGCTACTCTGAGCAAAACCCTGAAGCTATCCATAAAGCTATTTATTTCATTTTGCTTGACTTCTGGAAAAATATGTTTGTATAAATTATGACCCGTGCTGCTACATTTGACATCAAATTAAAGATACAAAAGATACCATTCCCATTTTTCTAAATAAAATGAATGTGCTTTTTCCTTTGTCTGTTGTCTCTTACTCTGATCACAGTTAAAATAAAAATGAGAATAAATGGACATGTAAAAGCCTTAATGCACATGAAGAGGATTTATATAGGAAAATTATTTTGATTTGGCCATCCTTATTTTTACACACCAATGAAAAATATGTCTAGAAGTCTTCTTTTTGGCCACGAAGAAATTACAAGTAAACACCATACCCTGGGTATAGATGTATGAGTAAATGTTTACTTTCCTTTCTAAGTATGTTTGTGGCTATCCATACAATTTATCCTACCTTCAATGGATTATGCACACATCAGAATCCAGAAGAAACTTCATATACATCAACTAAAGATTCAGATAAATGTGTGGTGTAAAATGTTAAATACTACAGGTAGAGCACTGCATTTTAGAAAACTGCTCATTGACTCAAGTACTTTTTTTTTTTTTAAAGCCAATTCTATAAAGGGAAGCTCAAATCTTCTCATTATCTTAAAAACAAAACCACAATATAAAACACAATGAAACAAATATTATACTCTTTTTTTATATTATTTAAAATTACAACAGAGTATATCTGTTTCTAAAAACTGAATTTTCTGTTATTACTGTGTATTGGTTAAAAGTTGAAACTGTCAATGGTTTAAACACTCACAGATCAGGACTGTAGTTTCTCCTGCCATTATTTCTGATTTATGAGTAACTTTATAATTTTAATGAGCTTTTGCATTAAAGTCAACTTTTCTTTGTCAGGTTTAACACAAACTTGATCAAGATTCTTTCAGAACCTTGCACCATTCATAGCTGTATGGATTCTGTTATGACTATGAAACTTAGAGAAAGTTCTAAGAAAAATAAATAAATCACAGAAGCAATGAATGGTCTGTGTTAAATAAAATGGTACAAATAAATAAAAGTATACAAAAATATATGTAAACTAAACCACACAGAAAAAAGTATAGTATCAATGGATGCAGATATTTCCTATAAATATTCTAAGCTGACCATAAAAATATAAAAATTCTTATAAAATAAGAATTAATAATACATAAATATAAAAATCAAAATTCTTCTAAGCTGATCATAAAACTCAATGTAATTTCTTCCAGTTGAGAAATCTGTAAAGACTGAGAGAAGTTTCCAAAAACAGGCATTCAAAAGACAGCCTAACTGCCATTAACTTTAATTTTACTGTTTGAGGAAAAGATCTATCACAGCTGAATATGATTTTTCTTTAACTTTTAGTATATTACAAAGAATGGAGCATCAGAACTGTTGATGTAATACGCTAAAAAAATCTACAGATCACATCAACTAGGAATGACCATAAAAATGAACACAAAACTGTGAGGGAACTTTTACATCTTATTTTCTGATGGAACAGTAAAATAGTCTTTCATGCTCTTTATTCTGTGCCTTTGAGGATATCAGCTTCCCAAAATTTCAGGCGGTGACAGCTACTAATTTATCATAAATGTATGTAGTAGAAGAAACACCCACTTTCTTTCTTCAGTCTTTCCTTTAACTTTGAGCAAACCTCAGCTGCATTACGGAACTACCCCTTCATAAATGACATACATTAGTTATATGTTGCAATACTAATTACTAACCTCACAGCATACATTATGGTGTGAATCACGGTTTTAAACAAGGAAAGCAAGACTAATTGCTCTCCATTCTTTGGTAAGTTCTGTAAAAATGGACTACTTCCTCCAAATTCAAAGAAAAGCCAGGTTAGTCATAACTGATAAGCAGCTCTGCTTCCCATGCATCACCTATTTCAAAACATTTAATCAAGATATCTACTTGACAATCCATTAGTATGGAATTCATATATTACGTTAAATAAAAGAATTACATTATACCAACATAAGGGTCAGATGTCCTCCAGTAAATTAATGGAGAATTTAAATAATCAGATTTTAACACACAGCTATGAGAACTGCACTCACTCACTCTTAAATACTTTCCAGAAATACCTATGCATTCAATAGTATTTATTTTTTTCTTTTAAAGTTTCTCAGAACAGCTCACCCTACAGCCTCTATGAGAGCTTCAAAAATTGGGTTGAAGTAAGCTGGAGCCAATCCAAATCTCAAAACACTCTGCAAGAATAACTAACAAAACACCCCACCTGCAGACCAGTAACCCACTGGACCCAGTTCTAACAGTCCCTAAGTATTTTACTAGACCAGAACTATTGCTTTCCTTTCAGACGAAGAAATCTCAACACCTATAACTGAAGTGCAGTTCAATCAGAAAAGGGCTAATTGCCCA